CCAACGATAGGGAATTTAGAAATCAATGGGCCTCTTCACCATAGGGGCGTGACTAACCATCCCCACCCAGTCCTCAAATAGGCCACGCTCAGCTTTTTAGCGCAGAGCAACTTCCCGGAGTCTTCACGGAGACTTCAGGGTTGTCTACCGCTGACTAAGCTTCTGTGAGAGAAGCGAAACGTCCTTTTTTGTTTTTTTTACCCACAGGTACAGATGACGACTAACAGAACCCTTTCTACGATGGAACTTTCCTGTACGACTGAGAGCCTCCACAAGCGTCGAGACACAAGGCAATTGGCTAGCTGTTGCTGCTCCCTAGCGGTATGATAGGGTACTACATGATTACTTTCTGGGCGAAAGACCGCACAGGCATACAAATTGGATATTTTCCCGCGGCACACCTGACAATGTCTCGGCACACGGGTTGAAAAACACTGTGTTAGGCAATGATGGTACGAGGCTGTCGTGTGGCTGTTGCAGGGAGTCCGATGGCCCTGAAGTTCTTCCCCCGCGTGAGCACCAACCTGTGTACGTTTCTACGCGAGTACAACGTGTCTTTGAGGTTCTGCACGCACCCGTCTCTAAGCCGCGCTCTGGGCATCGCCTACTCAACGCCATCGCATTACGTCTTCGCCCAACAGGCCGGACTCTTCGGCGACCTCTACGACTTCATTGTACCTGAGGCAAATACGCGCATTCGCTCGTGCCAAACTACGTGCATGTGAGAGTCCACTATTTTTCAAAAGAAACAAAACATGACATTATTGGATTGAATAAAAATAGCCTCGGTTTTCAAACGTCTCTGTTGTCGACCAAATCAGATTTCGACCAAAAAGTTACGGATTGAGAACCGGTTTTCGACCAAATTGGGCAAACCCGAATACGCCACTTTACTCCTCTCGGCTTCCTCGTGTGGCGTTCATTGTGAGCAGATGTGTTTATTGTGATTTAAGCAAATCTGACTTTTTTCTGCATAGTGTATTAGCCCCTAATCATGGGCTAATAAAGTAGTTTCGGATTTCAAACAAATCGCTTTTCGAACAGCCTTCTGGAACGGATTATGGTCAAAAACCGAGGTATTACTTATAATTAATGTTAATGGCTGTTAAGAAAAACAGTTTGCCAGATTTAGTTTCTGTGAGTTTGTTTCTTGCTTTTGGGAATATTTTTCCTGTTTTTGAATAATTTCGGGAAAATTATTCTCATTTGCAGGAAAAAAAACGAAAAGAAAAACATACTCACAAAAAGAGAAGAAAATCTATTCAGACAACAGCCCCTCAAAATGACTCAAAAAGAACAAGTCATGCACAATGTAGCGCACATTTTAGAGTAAAACAAAAACTTTTTTTGACTGTGCTACTAAATAGTAAACGTTTTGCTTTGTCTGCGACAGCATCAAGCTGAAATGCATTGAACTGCTCGGGATCTCCAGTTTATGGGCTTGCTTTTAGCATCTTTCACAAGCATAAAATAAAAGGACATTTTAACATTTCAGGTGTGTGCGTAAGAAGCCTGTTTTGACAAAGTAAGGAGTCAAAGTTACAGATCTCTGTTTTCATCAACAAAATTAAATACATGTACCTGGTTGAAAAAAACAAACAAAAAGTGTTGAAGCGCAGTAAGCGAGTCCTTGTACTTGATGCCTTACTCAGGTTGGTCTGGAGGAGGACGGGTGCCAGCGGGTGGTGTCGCAGCTGTGCGGCGCCCTATCACACCTTCACTCGCTGGGCTTCGTCCACAGAGACGTCAAACCTGAGAACGTCTTCCTGTGTGACGCCGCTTGCCGCTGGGTCAAGCTGGGAGACTTCGGGATGGTGCGTACATAGACAAGAAGAACAGCTTACTCTTTAGCGCTCTTCCTTGACACGGGCATGTGCACAACCCCCTGCAGGTTAAGGCCCGAGGAACCAAAGTCCCTGAGGTGTGGTACCGCTCGCCCTACTGCACCCCCGAAGCCGAGGTGGCACGAGGGAACCGGGACGGCGGCGGCGATGCCGGCGACCCGCCGGTGAAGTCAAGAGACGAGAGGAAAAAGAAACGGCGCCCGCAGGTCTGGGCCATGGTGGAGCCCAGTGTGGACAGTTGGGCCTTGGGCGTCCTGGCCTACGCCGCGCTGACTGGCGCCCACCCGTGGCCTCAAACGTCCTCCGACTGCACCGCCTACCTCAAGTATCTGCGATGGTTCAGCGCGGCCAAAACGTTGGAGGACCGACTGGACGTGTGGGCTGAGCAACAGCACCAGGTCATGGCCGGCGCCAAGGAGCGACCTCCAGTGCCGCCCCAGTTTGCCCGTTTCACCCCGTTAGCCCGAGCCTTCTTCCGCCTCCTGCTGGACCCCAGTCCGCGGGACCGAGGGCGGCCCGAGGACGCGCTGGGCTACCTCGGGGGCCCCTGGATGCTCGCCGGCGAAAAGGAACGCCTGGAGGAGCAAAGAAAGAAGAGCCCAGGGAGAGGAGCCGTCAAGGAGAATGAGAGCAGGGGACAGAGATGAACAAGGGACCGTTTATGCCGTTTATGTTAGCTTTAGCGAACAAGCGGAAGAAGAGTCCAGGAAGAGGAGTTGAAGGAGAAATGAAGCCGAGGAAGACAAGTGGACAAGGGACTCGTGTGTTGTTGATGTTAGCTTCGGCATCAGTTTTACTGTTAGCATGAGCTTTAGCACCAACAAGATGCTTTCATTCAAATCAGCGAGAGAGTGTAGGCCTCCACCAAGGTTTATGTTAGCCTTAGTGAACAAGCGGAAGAAGAGTCCAGGAAGAGGAGTTGAAGGAGAAATGAAGCCGAGGAAGACAAGTGGACAAGGGGGGCTGGCGTGTTGTTGATGTTAGCTTCGGCATCAGTTTTACTGTTAGCATGAGCTGTAGCACCAACAAGATGCTTGCATTCAAATCAGCGAGAGAGTGTAGACCTCCACCAAGGCTTTCGAGTTTCTTTGCTACATTTACATCACTGGCAAATGTCACATCTGGATCAAGCTTGGTTTGAGGCGGCTGTTTTGTATTTCAGTAGCTTTTTGCATGCAAATTAGTGGCACTCTTTGCAGGAGGTCACAGTTGCGCTCGCGTTGCGCCGAACCCATGAACGAACTGGATTTATTTTTACCTCACGACCTTTTGGCGCTTCATTCTTGGCGAGCAAGCGCATTGACTCAACTTTGTTTTGCTGCAAATGCCTCGGAAACCTTCTTGACGTCATGACAAGAACACGGTACGCCTGAAAACAATTTACTGGAAAGGTGTGGGGGTGTTGAGCATTAAACGTAGAAAGGGAAATGTGTGGAGCAGTCACAGCCCGACAGGCGTAATGTCATCAATCCTTCTGCTGTTTAGTGGATGACAGGTTAGAATGTGGGAAAGCGACCCACCAAAAGCTGAGGGCTCAACTGTTGCATGCTCAGTGGAGGACAAGTAGACTAGACACATAGTGTATCATGTATTAGATCAAGAATGGGCAACTAGCAGATCTCACTCTGAATGGCCCCTTGATTAATCACCCCCCTCCCAAAAATAAAACTTATTTGGGGTGTGTGTGTGTGTGTGTGTGTGTGTGTGTGTGTGTGTGTGTGTGTGTGTGTGTGTGTGTGTGTTAGGGGGTGGGGGGTTGTAAACAAGTTTACCACGTTGGACCCCTACACACACAACTTTTTTCCTTTTTTTTTTTTTTTTTTTTTTTGCGGGGGGAGGGGGGGTTTACCTGAATTTTTTTAAAGAATTTGGGGGCTTTGCAAAAAGAATTTCAGTGCAGTTTTAAATCGTGATATCACTATTCACCACTAGATGGCAGTCACGCACATTTGGAATGATATGCAGGAAAAACAGTCGCTGAATGAATTGAAATGTTTAATGAGTGTGAAGTCGTGCACAAAATGAGTTCTCGCACTTCATTTTGGCTTTCAGTTCAGCAGTTTTTCAATGGGGGTGGGGGAGAAACGATCTCATTTTGTGGTTATTTTTTGATTGTTCAAACCATTTGTTAATGACGGCTGTACATGCATTGAGCATGAAACATATTCAGACACTGTGTTGTATATTGGTTTAATAAAAGCAATGACACATGCCCGTAATTTGTCCCATTGTAGCACTGTTGAAAAATCATTGAAATTGCCTATCCCTGACAAATTTGACACCCACCTTACACCTACGGACGACTTAAAAGTGGACAATAGTTTTTAAAAAACACGTTTTATTCTCAAGACTGACTCGAAGAAAACATTCAATTTCTCTGTTTTGTCCCTTTTCCAAGCGTCTTTTGGTTGCGACGCTTACTCCGGTCAATAGGTGGCGCTAAAGCGCCTTGGGCCGCCATTCAAGTCCAAGACGAGCAAGAACAAGAGGCTCCTCGGATGTTTTCACGGTGAGGATTTACCTTATATTTTGCGACATTTACGCCGCAGTTTGCCCGCGTCCGACAGCTCGCATACGTGAGTCTTTGTTAAAACAATATTACGCAAGGATTTGTGGTTGTCTTGGTGAGTTCAAATGTTTGTTATTGCCACATAATTTTGGCTACTGTGACAGCTAGGGTCGCTCGGCCGCCGCCATATTGGCTCCTGTCGCTCTCCAATGTACTGTAAATAATCAAATCCTCAAAACGAGACATTCACGGCCGTTTATGTGCCTGAAAAGCTTGATTTCGTCGCCGAAATTTCCGCATTTAGTCTGCGTTGACCTCCGCGAGCCTCGAGACGCCGACGGCCAGCCCTGACTAAGCTTGGCTAGCGAAGGAGACTTGCTAAACAGGAGGACGAATATTCGAGAATACTGTACGTCGAAACTTCATTGCTTTAATGGTTAGTGCATGTGCCTCACAGCTCCGAGCCTGATTCTGGGTTCGAACGTTCGTGGGATTTCCTCTCACGTTCTAACAACTTTACTGGTTTCATTCAAATTGTCCTTCGATGACAACGTAAATCTGACTGCTTGCTTGTCTTCATCTGCCTGAACATTGAGGTTTGTCTCGACTTTCTTTTGCAGCATTGGGGAGCAGAAGAGGACAGCACCATGAGCCATTAGCTTCACTCGCTACATTTGCGTAATTCGCCTCTGATACTCACAGGTTTGTATTCACTATGTACACGTGAAAAGTCACAACAGTAGACAAAAGAGTCTGCAAGCAAGCAGTTGCAGAGATGCGTTAAGATGCAGGTGACCTGATTAAAGAGTTTACAAGCCTAAACCCAAGATGCGAGCACTGCTTGGTGGCATCTGTCTCAACTCGTTTGACAGATCGAATTCATAAGGTTCTCGTAAAAAGAGCCTTCAAGCTGTCGTTTTTTTTTTTTGGGAGACTCATTTGAGGGTTGCTGTCAAACTAAACATAAAACAAGCAGAATCCCATCTTGCGTAGCATAGTTGAAAAGAGAAGCACTTTTGCTCCTCTCCCTTGGAGCGGTTGTGTTGACAATCACACCTCATGACTAAGTTATGCAGAAATTCAGGTCATTTCAAAAGGTTCTCATTCTTCTTCTCTCTATAATAAGTGACCTGTCGTGCCCCACTCGGCACCATGACGTCCTCCATGCTACGCAGACAGCTAAAGAACCTGGTCCAGAACTACTCTGAGGCTGAGGTCAAGGTAGGTCACACTTTTCCGGGAATGTTGTGCAAGATGGAGGAGGACGTTGGGCTGACATGGCCTCTGGCGCAGGTTCGAGAAGCCACGTCCAATGACCCGTGGGGCCCGTCCAGCTCTCAGATGGCCGACATCTCTGACCTGACCTACAACGTGGTGGCCTGCAACGAGATCATGACCATGCTGTGGAAGCGGCTCAAGGATGACAGGAACTGGCGGCACATCCACAAGGTGACCATGACAAAGTGGTTGACTCGCATGCATGCAAGCGACAAAAAACAATACAGAACGCGCGCGCGCACACACACACCACTCCCTTGGTGTCATTTGTGTAGTAGTGAAAGTGGTGTGTGTGTCTGTGTGTGTCAGTCGCTGACGCTGCTGGAGTACTTGCTGAAGACGGGCGATGACCGCGTGCTCCTCAAGATGAAAGACAACATTTACATCGTCAAAGCCCTCACCGAGTACCGATTTGTGGAGAAAGATGGCAAGGATCAGGTGAACGCCACTTCCTTCCTTCCTTCCTTTCCTCATCCATCCCTCTCTCCCTATTCCTTCCTTCCTTCCTTTGCAGCTCCCACATCTGACTAAAGACCCGAAGACGGCTCATCTAAGCTTAACTTTGCAGTGGTGTTTTTTTACCAGTTTAACAGACAAATGATAGCATTTATAGTCACGGCGGAGAGTTGAGGGGGAGCATGAAATGTTGTGTTCTTCCTGTGGGGAGTGGGGGGGGGTAACAGAAAATAAGTGAGAAGCACTCGGCTTACGAGAACATGTGTATCCAGGGTACAAATGTTCGAGAAAAAGCCAAAGTTGTGCTGGTCCTGATGGAGGACGATGACAAATTAAAGGAGGAGCGAGACTTTGCTGTCAAGACCCGAGAGAAGACATCCAAAGGTTCCACAGGTAACAGTTGAAGCGCTGGGCCGCGGCGCCGCCATTTCCGTCCGCCGACGCCTCGCAGCTCACCCGGCTCTCTGGCAACAGCCTCATCCTCGGACGCCGTCAAGGACCCCAACTACAAGCCGTGCTACGTTCCCGGCGCCTCGGGGCTCCCGTCGCTAGACAACATTCCCTCGGTGGCCGACCTCACCGCTTCCTTCGCCGCCCGCAAGGAGGAACGCCTCAAGCAGGAGCAGGAGAAAAAAGAGGTGGAAAGGCGGGTGAGCACGCCAAAGCCATTGTTCATTCCGGCTGGCCAATTTGTCCATTTGAAAATATTTGATTTTGCTTGCCAACTTGGTTGCTGCTGTGCATTTAGCAATAATTCTGATCGCTTTTGCTACAATTCAAAAAGAGACAAAAAAAAGAAAAAAGAAAACATCTTTAATTCCTACCTACCAGAGACAGACAACATGAGCAGGTTCATTTTCACATTGTTTTATTTCAAAGCAGTTTTGGCAACTCACTTTCAGGAGATGTTGTGAAAGACAAACTGCTGCAGGGGATAGTCTGAAAACTCGCGATCAAAGTGCCAAGTTGGCAACGCAACTCGGTTGAAATTATAGAGCACTTGAGGGGGAAAAAGAAAGCGCAGCTGAAACAAAGTACAGCATATGAATAAGGAACATCAAATATGAGACAGTTAAACATACAAAAGCGTTTAGAACAGGGGTCGGGAACCTATGGCTCGCGAGCCATATATGGCTCTTTTGATGATTGCATCTGGCTCGCAGATAAAAAAAAAAATATTCTCGTTTGTTTATTAATGCATCCATCGATCGATTTTTCACTGCTTATTTCCTGTTTGGGCTGCAGTTGGCTCCAGGAGCCATTTTGATTGGATGATACTGGCCAACGTTGCCGTTGCTGTGGAAACAGGTATACGCCCCCTTTTGAATCAACCCGCTCGGCCATTAGCTCAAAGCTAATCCTTAGCGAATAAGATGGCGAAAAGAAAAAAAGATGACGAGTTTGGTAGACTTCAGGACGAATGGACCGAAGGATTCCCCTTTGTGGAGAGAACGGGTTCTGCGGTGTGTCTGATTTGCAATGTCAAAATACCATCGATGAAGCGGTCGAATGCAGAGCGGCACTTTGACACGCCCCATGCTACGTTCGCATCAAAACACTGTGCGAGAGATAGCCGAAAGGAAGCGAGCAAGCTACTGAGCAGTGTGCAAGCTCGCCAGCAGTAACTTCGCGTATGGACCCGGCAAGATGACTTTCATTCCGATAGTTTTGCTGGATTTTTAGCAATCGTGAGGAACGGAAAACCATTCGCATTAATGGTCAATATATATATGTATATGTACATATGTGTGTATGTATACATACACATATATGGCTCTCACTGAAATACATTTCCAAATATTTTGCTTTTATGGCTCTCTTAGTCAAAAAGGTTCCTGACCCCTGGTTTAGAATAATGGCATTGTTGTTGCTTCTTGTTTTCAACAAAAAATATTTTGCTGCGTTGCGCAGGCCCAAATGTCCGAAGACGAGCTGAAATGGGAAGATGCTGGAAAAGGAGGCGCTGTTGCCGATCAGGCCTGGTCCCGTGAGAAGATTGAGGAGGATGGAGAGGAAAAAGCCAAGCCTGACCCCTGGGGGGATTCCGATCGTTGGGGCGAATGCTCCAAACCCGACGTGTCAGATTCAGCACCTGCTACAAGTGGTGACAATTCTTTGGAGTCTGCTAGCGCTCAAGTTTCCGACAAGCAAGACCCACCTTGTCATCCTTTGAAAGCACAAACAGGTCCACAAGACCCTTTTGTGGCACAAAATGGCGCCCCGCAACGCGCAGAATCCTTTGAAGGCCAGCCCAAAAACCAAGAGGATCCCTTCACCTCTTCCAATAATGACCCATTCAACACCCCGAAAGATGACCCCTTTAATGCACCTAAAAATGACCCCTTCAGTACAGCCAAAAATGACCCCTTCAATGCCCCCAAAGAGGACCCTTTCAACACCCCCAAAGACGACCCGTTCACCGCCCCCAAAGACAACCCCTTCAACTCCCCCAAAGATGACCCTTTCAACACCCCCAAAGACGACCCGTTCACCGCCCCCAAAGACAACCCCTTCAACTCCCCCAAAGATGACCCTTTCAACGCCCCCAAAGATGACCCATTCACCGCCCCCAAAGAGGACCCGTTCACCGCCCCCAAAGAGGACCCTTTCAACGCCCCCAAAAACGACCCCTTCAACGCACCTAAAAATGACCCCTTCACTGCTCAAAAAGATGACCCCTTCAACGCCTCGAAAGAGGACCCATTTAATACACCGAAGGACGACCCATTTGACACCCCGAATAATGATCCGTTCAACGCCCCCAAAAACGACAAGCTCAACAGCCCCAAGGATCACCCATTTGGCACCCCAAAAGACGATCCCTTCTTCAGCGCCCCAAAAGATGACCCATTCGCAGCCCCTCAAGTATCAACTTCCTGTGAAGAAAGTCCACCGACTGCCCCCACGACACCCCCAAAAGACGACCCCTTCAACACTCCGCAAGACGACCCTTTCTCTGCAGCCAGTGTAGCCGCTGAAGCACCAGCGCCTCCTAAGGATGACCCTTTTGCCACTTCGTCTGACAAGGACCCCTTTTCCGCCCCCCTGACGCCACCCAAAGAAGAAGAAGGCAGGTCGTCCGATCCCTTCGCCGCGCTTCCGCTGAGCTCGTCCCGAAGCGGAGGTGACGGCTGGGGAGCTGCCTCCGGCTTGGCGCCCCCTGCTGGCTCGGATCCATGGGGAGCCAGTGGCGTGTCTTCGCCTGTTGATGATTGCGATCCCTTTGGGGACACCTCCAAAGCCCAAAGTGACCCCTGGGGGACGCCAGGTAAGACAACACAGGTTTCTTCCTAGATAACATTAAAAAAAAAAAAAAAAAAGTCAGCAATTTATGGAGCAAAAAGACATTTTTTTTGAAGTGTTGCAGTGCATTTTAAAAACAATTATCTCTCTCTATGTATGTATATAAAATAAAAATGTATATAAAATAAAAATGTATGTAAAATTTGTCATTTAACGACTGTATGAATATAAATGCAGTAAAATATTTAATATCTGAAATGAATCTTTTGTCAATGAATAACTTGCGAAGGTTGTGCTGTTGCGAAAGATGCGTGGGAGACTCCGACAGCTCCCTCCCCAACCAGCGACCCCTTTGGAGACTCCAAAAGAAGAGCAGGCGCAGGTAATGCATTAGTATTGCTCTCACGACTTCTGTTATGATGATAACGATCATGTGAATGCTGAAGAGACCCGTCCCGTTTTCGCCTGTTCGCACCTTTCACTTTTCTCAACCCATTTGAACTTCACTAAATTCAGGATACCAGGGCATATATTTTTCCTTTTCCCACAATTCCCAGTTTTCCATGGGAAAAGAAAATGGAGATATTTCTCAAATGTAACTCTGTTTATCAATCACTCCAGTCAATTCAAAGAAACGGATGTCTTTCACAGCAGCGGTCCCCAAACTTTTTTGCCCCATGGACCGGTTTAATGCCAGACAATATTTTCATGGGCCGTCCTTTAAGGTGTGGTGGATAAATACAATAAAATAATCTGATATTACCTGCATGAAAACTCTGGTATTTTCCAAACATAAAAATAAACACGAATCATCACACGAGGAACGTCCTATCTGGCCGCTATGGTAACGTTTAAACGTGCCTTCAAAATAAGATACAACACAAATTCAAAGTGCATGAAAAATACGACTCACCACAATGCAGAATCAGTGGCAGCCCTGAGCTTGATTTTCTGCAACCAGGCGGTCCCATCTCAGGGTAATGGGAGACAATGACACCTTAAGTGTCTGGCTTATGTCCAGTCTACTTCGTAATTTTGTTCTGGTCGGCGTCGTTGTGGAGATCTCAGGGTATTCAGCCATAACTTTAATCCAGAACACCGGAAGAGTTATCTCGAACGTACTTTTAACGCCGCCGTCATTTGCGATCTCCAGCAGCAGTTTTTTTTTTTTTTTTTTTACTCATTTTGTGAGCTCGTGCGTTTCGTTTTACCCCACTGATCGCGTGACCGAGAAGCACGCCTTGACGTGCGTCAAGAGTGACATGTAACCGAGAATTCGGTAATTTTTCAAAATAAAACATCTTTCAGATTTCGAAATAAATAAAAGATAAGATATCCTTTATTTGTCCCACAATGGGGAAATTTACAAAACGGAATTAATGTAAGTTATTTATTCTTTCTGTGTGACCCGGTACCAAATGACTGACGGACCGATATCGGTCCACGGATCTGGAGTTGGGGACCATTGGTTTACAGACTCTGCAGCCCCAACTTACCCAGAAACTATTCCAAATATCTTTGGCACTTGACATTTTTTTTTTATTGTTGTTGTTGGCCAGTGTTGTGGATGATTAATACTGAATTTCTTTCTTTGCTGTCTTTGTTGGTGCCTCAAGAAAACTCCTTTTAGAATATCAACTCAGCCAGAGAAGGCGTTGCTTTTCGGGCTCGGCGGCGAGTGGGCGGGGCTTCAGAACTCAGCCTGCCAGAAAACTGCGCCCCCTGCCCAGCATGCTCAATATCCCCTCTCATTGCCCCCCTGCCCCAGGAACAGGAACCCCCCCACCCACACACACACACACACACACACACACACACACACACACACACACACACACACACACACTACTTGATGAGTGTTATCATGGTTTCCATAGTTACGGTCATGTGACAGGCAGGGGCGGCGGAGGCGCTGCAGCTCATGAGTATTCATCAGTAGTTAATTTGTTTGGCTCCTCCCTCCCTGTGTTTTTTGTAGTTGTGTGTGTGTGTGTGTGTGTGTGTGTGTGCGTGTAGTATAGTGTAGTTGTTGCGTTTGTTGACTAGCTGTTAGCAATAGCATTATGCTCACTCTTCACCCCTCCCTCCTTTGGGAGATTGTCCACATGATGATGGCATGATCGGACTGCGTTGATGTGATACCCCCCATACATACAGTATGCACACACACATTGTGTGTGTGTGTGTGTGTGTGTGTGTGTGTGTGTGTGTGTGTGTGTGTGTGTGTGCGTGCGTGCGTGCGTGCGTGCGTGCGTGCTGATACAATGCAACACGAACCTTACGATCAAGTGTAAATACGAGTATTTAGCCATTTATAGCTTGAATATTTATTCACGTGACCGCGGAGCAAAAATGAAAAGTTCAGGTTGTCGTTGTTGTTGTTGACCACGATGAAGATGATCAGACCCATCAGCAGATCCGTCGGGGTGGGCGGTCTCCTATGGCCCGCCCTTGGTGACAGATCAGATGATGATGATGATGGTGACAATGGGCAATGACATGTAACAAGATTTCATGAGAAATCATCTCAGTAACCAGCCGTGTCTTTAATTTATTATATTTATTTTATCCTTTCACTTTGTCAACTCCATGCTCTGCGTGCGCGCGTTTGTGAGACGTCGTCCCAAGGCACCGAGTAGCAATCAGATTAAGCGATGAAGTGAAATAAATTCACTATTCAGATGATGACCCGATAAATACCAACGCAAATGAATATTAATCAAAGAAGACTCACAAAAGAACTGCCAAATCAAATCATCTGCTTTTCATCAATTTAAGATAAAAACATGTTTTTGCAGTGTGCACGCGCGCGTGTTGTATGAATTAACGTTTACGGGATGCATTTATTTATATACTTAATTCTGTATTTATATTTGAATTATTTTCTCCCGTTAGAAGACGTTTCTGACTGTGACCACGAGAGGGAGACAAAGATGTGACATGCGCAGAAAAAAAATGTGATGAGTAATTGCATATATTCTTATTGCTATCCAGTAATGGCATCGAAATGTTTGCTTGGGTGTTTGTAACTTATTTTTCTTTGACTTGATGGCAGATGAAGTATTGACAAACATTTCTGTGGGTGTGTGTGTGATGTACATTAAGATGTATTTATTATTGTGATGTAAATAGTGACCTGATTATGTTGGATATTATAGTATGATTATGATCACAAGTAACTATTTATTCATTGAGTGAAAATCCATCAGTTCGACAAACTTCAGATTGTTCTTGTTTTGGACCTAAAAGTGATGATGAGGATGATGATGATGTCATGCTTATGATAAATCAAGTAAGTAATCAAAAGTGTCTTGATTGTTATTCTTTCTTTTTTTTGGGGGGGGGGGGTTGTAAAGCACCCCTGTTTCAGCGTCATGTGATCTTTCAGGATTCCGTGTCATGTTTCAGCATTCCATGTCATGTTTCGGCATTCCATCATATCTTCGGATCCTTGCCGTATTTCAGGAATCTGTGTCATGTTTCAGCATTCTGTGCCGTCGTTTGAGCCATCAGGATTCTATGCGGATTTCCTGCCACGTTTCCTCATGTGTCGTTTCAACATTTGACATCGTCTTCCGGTTTTCCGTGTCATGATTCAGCGCACGTATGTAGAGTAAGGGCACTCGCTGTCCCTGTTGGACATGATGACGTTTGGTGTCCCCTTGGACATTGTTTGTGGTGGCGGCGGGGGTTGATGATTGGACGCCTGCTCGCGGCCGTTGATCTTATCTCGCTGCTGACTTGATCGTCGCTCTTGGAGCGGAGGTCCGAGTTGACGTGTGAGTGGGCGCGCTCCAAGTGGAGCGCGGCAACAGATGGACTTGGGATGACTCGTGATGATGACTTGCGAGGATTACGCCAAGAAAAGCGGCCGGCTTTGTGGCGCGACCTGCCACACCGCTTGGGACGGACGGCAGTGATGGAAAAAAAGATCCTCGTGCTGGTGAGTGATACAACGCATTTTGAAGAAAATGTTTCAATATTCCATTTCATGTTTTAGTCTTTTGTATCATGTTTGTGAAGAGCGTGAACATGTTGCATTATTTCGTCCTGTCACTGTTTTAACTGTTTTCCATGTCATGTTTCAATATTCCATATTATTGTTTGAAAACTCTTGTCATGTTTCAGCATTCCATATTGTTTCAACAGTCGGTCATATTTTTGCATTCTGTTTGCGCATTTCAGCCTATCCTGTCATATTTCAGCATTTCATGTCAAGGGCATCATTCCAGATCACGTTGCAATGTTCCACTTGGCTGTTTCAACATTTCAATCCATGTTTCAGAATTCTATGTTTTTGTTGTTGAACTATTACAGGTCATGTTTTGGCATTCCGTGCCATTTTATTGCTCGTGTATGTATACTTTATCCCCTGACATTGGATGGATCCATTGCTTGTCGACCTGTGCTGTCGTTTTTATTCGGCGATGCTAGCTGGTAACTAGCTAGCGATGTTTGCGTTTCATGAGTTTCAGCATTCTATATCGTGATGTTTTTGTATGTTATGCTGTGTTTCAGGATTTTGTCTCATCTTTCAGCATCCCGTGCCGTTGTTGCCGCATACTGTTTGTGATATTTCAGCATTTCAAATTGTTTCTATGCCTCAGAAGTCAAGATCGCGTTGTCACATTTTATGCCATTGTTCCATCATGTTGTGTTTCAGCAGCCCAGGCATTCTATGTGGCATTGCAATTGTGATTATTTTGTGCTAGACTAGCTTTGCTAACCATGTGTGTTTCATGGGCTCGTCAGGTTGAGGTGGTCCAGACCAAGACAAAGAAAGACAGTAATCCGATCCAGACGAGCCATTGAGATTAAGGTGGATTAGAATCCCAGGGGCGACTTTTTGACTTGACCAAGCAAGTACAGGAGTGGCCGGATTGGTCGCACAGACCCCCCCGGGAGGACGCAGGGGAATGGGATAGAGGAGCCGGTCCCATTCATCAGGTGAGCCATCCAAGCAGTTAAACAAATCCTGTCTTCTCACAGGCCACATCAAGAATGACGGCCTATGATGTGCATTCTACAAGGAGAATTCAGCTGTCGCTTATTGTCGGCATAAAAAGCAGGATTGAAGAGGATTTGACGTCCAATAATCGTCATCAAAAACTAGGATGAGCTGAAATCGTTCAAATTCAGTGTCGAACCATATAGTGTTCCACCCTGTCGTGGTCGAAGGTGGAATTACACGCCAAATCAACCCAAGGCAGAGCAAAATCAATTGTACTCGAAATAATCCGTGAGCAAGCAGGACCACAAACCAACAGTTGAAGGTTGTTTACTGTAACCTTTTTGAGACGTTTTACTTTGGTGAGCTCTTCTTCATGGGAAATGTGTGCTTTGTCTTGATAAAGGTTGTGAAACAGCCATGTAGCCTGAACCTTCCTCCAGCAAGTCGGTGACGTGTGGGAATGTGACGTTCGCATATCCGGATCTGCCATCCACTCGTTCTCAATTTCCCAAATCCCCTTCTCTGGATTTGCTGTCTCTGGCCTCTCTCGCTGCACCCGCCATGCCGCCGCATCTCTGAGCCTCGGCCCCGGCCGGGAATAGGGAGCGGCGCCGTCGGCCATGTTGGAAAAGATGTCCCGCCAGCAGCGGTCCCTGCTGTCGTTGGCGTTGACCTCGCTGGCCCTCAGCTTGTCCGTGTCGGCCTTCTGCACATCGTACTGGTGCGAGGGGACCCATAAGGTGGTCAAGCCACTCTGCCTGTCGCCCGTCAAGATGAAGAACTGCGGCCAGAACAACAGCCAGCCCTACACCACAGGTCCGAATGCCACTTAGGTCGAAAATACCCCAATTTGCCTAAAAAATGGACCCATCCGCTGCTGAGCTCTGTTTGAGCCAGCTTGCTGGGGTTTGTTTTATACAAAACAAGTCGCATGCCTTGAAAAGTTTTGGAACATCTGCCTTTGGAGCGAAAGATGCATATAAGTGCTGCTTTGGCATATACCGAAGTTGTTTTATCGAACAGTGGACTGGCACGGATTCCCATAATCCCTGAAAGCTTTGTTGCTAATCCCCCAACTCTTGCGGATTGTGTCAGGCTTATCTGTTTTCCCAAGCATGTGCTATACAATGTTCCACATGTGTGCAGTCCACATCTGCAGCATTCCCCACCTTAGGAGTCATGGGATTAAGAGTTTCCAGATGAAGGGCGAGGAAAACAACCAGCACTCAATCCTTCTTTAAACCTTTACGTCACAATACTAGGTGGCTACTTGTTACCTATGAGACGTCTAGGCTACGACCAAGCTTGGAAAAACTTCGGCCCATTCTGTAATCTAGCCCACTGAGTGTCTACGTGATCAAGACTCCCTTCAAATTGGTTTATTAAAATATAGGCGATTTTTACTGTTGCCCTCATTCAGTAAATTCTAGTTGGTTTTAAAGAATCGTACCTATCCAGAGAATGTGTCCCTTTGAGAATCAACCTTTGCTCAGAAATGAATGTAGGCCCCTTTGGAGTATTTGAGGTTCTTGGAACATCACGGACCTTAACTTTGTCAAGTGTTGCCTCCCCTCCCTCACCCAGAGGCCCCGACGCCGGACCCCAGGAACCCATCGTCCAACGTGACGCTGACGCCGCTGCAGAGGGAGCAGCTGGCCATCCTCAGGAGGAAGCAGCTGGCCAACGCCGTCCACTACATCTGGGAGACGGGCGAGGACAAGTACATGCTGCGCTACTTCCATACTGGATTCTGGCTGTCCTGTGAGAAGCACAACGAAGGTGAGTGGCGTGGCGGCAAACAACTCTGTCGTCGAGACTCTCATCTGTCTCTCTAGGTACTCCTGCACGCATGAAGGGTAGCCGGGTCGCCGGGGAGTTGAAGTAAATTCAATTCACGGTTGTTTGTCTTTGCGGTGACCTATTGGAGACCTTGGACTCAAGTTTTATGCAGCTCTCTGAGACATCTTGGAGACTAATTCCGTTCCGCTGCTGGCAAGATGTTTCCAGGAGGTCTTTGCAATGACTCAGAGACCTGCTGGAGAGCGAATAGAAGTCTCCGTGTATGCGACGACACATTACCCGCTAGATCAATAGATTTAATTTTACCGTATTGGCCGAATACAAGACGGTGTTTTTTGCATTGAAATAAGACTGAAAAAGTGGGGGTCGTCTTATATTCGGGGTCTAGACATTATACCCATTCATGACGCTAGATGGCGCCAGATAGCATTGAAGCTAATGCTGAACTTGACTCCCCAGGCCAAAGTGAACCCCTGCCACGAAGAATAAAACTAAAAATAGCGGTAGCACGAAGAAGAAAAATAAAAAACAGTGGTAAGAATGAAAAGAGAAGAAAATAATAGAAGAGATAACAGAAAATGGAGAAACATAGCGACAATCTGGAGAAAAGTGGGTCGAAGATCGGCCAGGTTAACCGGCAGCTGAGGAGAGGTTATGTAATTTACATTTCAAAAACCAGAAGCCATTCATTTACGAATGTGATTGCACTTTAGATTTGAATGAGGCAAAATAACATGCTTTTTCTCTGATATATATTGTTATAGTCATTTGTTTCAGATGCACTGTAATTATTTTCTGTATAAAAATTAATGTGGTGTTCAAAAAGTCTTTTTCCAAACTTGAGTTTGAAAAAGGGGGTCGTCTTATAATCAGGGCAGTCTTATATTCGGGCCAATACAGTATTTATTTTATTTTTTTCAAAAATAAAGATTTTAAACTTGGATAGTTCGCAAATGCTCACAAATTTAGCTGTAAACTGAGGCACTGTCATCATCATCATCCCATTTTTGGGTATCACCAAGCTTGCTCGAAATATTTGTCAAACGTATCAGTCGTTCATTAAAGAAGATCAACAACGTTCAATTATTCTGGCCAAGCCAAGCACAACTGACTTTCTGAGTTTTCTCTCCATTGATGGAGTGATTTTGCAGGAAGTGAAACCTGCCCCTTTGGAAATGGCACTTAATCAATGCCAAGTGCGAATAAAACTACAAGCGAGCTCGAAAAAATGGATGGACCTATTTTAATGCACGTTATTGTTCCAGGTGAGGACCAGGAGGAAAAGTGTCGCAGCTTCATCGAGCTGACGCCAGGAGAGACTCAAGGTCAGTGGCAACGTCCCGCCTCGCAGCACCTCACCTGGTTCCCCGCCACCGTGTTTACGGTCGCGTGCGTCTTTGCCCGCAGGTGTCCTGTGGCTGTCGGTCATCAGTGAGTTCATGTACATCGGCCTGCTGGCCATGGGCTTCCTGCTCATGTGGCTGGAGGCCATCTGCTTGTGCGCCAAGAGGGAGATGAACGCTCTCAAGATCAACGCCTTCGCCGCCATGTGCACCGTGCTGTCAGGTGGGCCCCGACGAACACACCCGCTTCATTCACCGAGCCACGCCACTGAACTGGATGCAGCTGGATGATAGCCACCAAACTGCTGTTCTTATCAGTACATTTTTTGAGGCATCCCCTCTACTGGCACCTTGATTGTTGTGTTCGCATGAAACGGTCGTTAAATAACTTGGCATTATGACATGAGATGATGGAGAGTAGAATGCCAGCATTCTGATTCCGGTCTCATGACTGTCACAGTGATAATTTTACAGTTTGAGCCCTGCGAGTCCCAGGGACTTACTGATCAGAAAAATATGAATCCCATTATGCATTTAGACCAGATGTGTCAAACATACGGCCCGCGGGCCGGAACCGGCCCCCAAGGAGATTCGATCCGGCCTGCGGCATCATTTAAAAGTGGAAAAAAAATGCATTAAAGACACCGAATGAATATTTTAAATAAAATGCAATTCGTGGATTTTCCGCTAGGGGGCACACTGTTTTGATCACAGCAGAAGACAACATTGTTTTGATCGGGGAAGAAAACAGCAGTCTCAGTCTGTCACCAAGATAGACCCAACGCAGCAAATGATATGAAAGCGCCAATCAATGCGTCTTGAGACCAAAACAAAGGAAAGAGATGATATTTTGGTGATTCATAGCAGAGTATGGTATAATGTTAATGGTTCGGCCCACTTGACATCTACCGAGTGCGTATGTGTCCCACAATGTGAAATGAGTTTGACAAATAATTCAGGCATACAAGATTTGCTGAGAAATAGGTTCTTATTTCATCCCATGGTTCAGTCTTTGAGTTGATAAATTCTCCTCTCTTTACTCTGCTTCCAATGATGCAAGGCTTTCTCAAAGTCAATTTATCACAAAAAAACTATCCAACTTTAGCTGCTTCCTCTGTGATATCTCCGCAATAAACTTTCGCAACACTTGTTTTAACGTTACACAACTTGGCAATCGTCTGCCGATCTCACCAATCTCGCCACGCGAGAACGGAAATCTCGTCACGTGAGAAGACTGAACGCGAGATCAAAACAACAATGGCGGCGATTGTCAAACTGCGATCGTTGCTGGAAAAAAAGATGTACCGTCGTTCTTTTTTTTTTTTTTTTTTTGTTTTGACTGACAAATTTCCTTGTGTCCCAAAAACGCACATTGTTTGGAACTGTGCATCCCGCGGGGAAATTATATGTCTAGGACGCCGGATGCAGATGTAACGATATGGCTGCTGTCAGTAAAACGGCCTCATTGTACAGGTATCACTTGAAATCGATACCAGAGTGCCACCTATTTTGGTCAAAACCGGACTCAAACCTGGTATCAAAGGCGGCTCAAATTGCAAAAGTGGGCCAATTTACTGCTAACGTTAAACGTATCCCTCTTAAATCACAAATGCGTCGAACCTTCCTTCTGGCAATGCTGTGTGAACATTGTCGAACGTGTCTGGCATTATTGAGTGTGAGAAAGCTTGAATGAAGGCAACGAGAGGTGACTTTCTCCTGAAGTGTGACCCCCCCGCCCCCCTCCAACCTCTGGCGTGCAGGCATGATGGGCATGGTGGCGCATATGATGTACACCACCGTCTTCCAGATGACCGTCAGCATTGGGCCCAAAGACTGGAGGCCGCAGACGTGGGACTACGGCTGGTCCTTTGCGTATGTCTACACGTGCATGATCATCATCATCAGAATTCATAAAGTGCTGACGATCCCCTCTCCGCCCTCCCCCCCACCAGCCTGGCCTGGCTGTCGTTCAGTTGCTGCATGGCGGCCGCCGTGGCCACGCTCAATTCCTACACCAAAACCATCATCGAGATGAAGCACCGCGCCCGGATGCGCCTGGAGGAGGTCCGCGCCGCCGCCCGCGCCCCCTCCTATGAGGAAGTCGTCCGCGCCGGAGGGGGCGTCTACTCCGTCAGCCAGCTGATCCAGCTGGGCCAGCAGGGAGCGCTCATGGACCCCCTGTGGCCACGGGGGGCGGGCCCCGCCGTGGGACCGCTGGCCTGCAGGGCCGGCGGGGCGCTCGTGGGGATGGGAGTGGCGGGGATGGGGGCCGTGGGCGTGATGGGGTCCGGGGGGTGCTCGGCCAACCCTCCAGGCAGCGTGCTGGTGATGGAGGGTTGCGGCGTAGGCGTCTGCGAAGACTGCGAAAGGGAGCTGGACCAGATGGACTATCTGCACCAGGACGGGGACGGCTCGCTCTGTTAGCGCCGCTTTGCTGATGCCTGCTGGTCCGGACAGGAACTGAATGTGGGGCAAAGCGAGTCGCAAGAGACACTTGACGCAAATGTTCTTCAGGACTGTACGTCAACGTTGTGGTGAAAGAATTCATTTGGAACTTGGGCTCAGTTAGGTGGTGAGGTGACGAAGTGTGGCTGCTTCGAAACGGGTTTTTTTTTTTTCCTGGTTTTTGTTTTTTTTAATCAACTGCCTCATTCGTACTGAAATGACAGGACTTGTGTTGACATTTAAAGTGTGTGTTGAGTAAACAAGTTGATTCCTCACTCCCACAGCAATGGTCTCCTTGGTGTTTATTTGGCATCATTTGATGGCGTTGTCGGCGGGATCTGGAAGATAAGACATTCGGGATTGCTGCTCGTCAACACTGCAAAACACGGCCGGCCGTAGGAGGTACGATTTTTCTCTCCGGTGAGTGCTCATTTGTCTTCTCGTTGCACTTGTCGTCGTTGACATTTGCATGTTTAACAAGGATCGACTGAGGAGGATCTCGCGCAAACTGTTGCTGGGGAAGACTTCATCGGTGAGCGTGTGGGACTTAAGTCCGCTGACAATGAGCACAAGGGGAAAGGCGAGCAAGGTTAATCGGCCGATCTTGCGTGACCACGTTGGGAAGCGATACGCAGCGGCCAAAGACGAGACGTGAGAAAGGACTAGCGGTAACAAGTAGCTGTTTGCCCACTCCAAGATTTGCCTGTTAGTTCGGGTTAACGTGTGCTGAGTCTGCTTCGTTTTATGGCTTCCAAACGCAGAGAGGGCGAAGGCTGTTCTTTTATGTCATGTAGGTGATGTAACGGAGAACGCGTACTAGATTATAGAGTAGAGTTAAACTAAGTTAATTCTCTTGATAGTTATGATTGTAGATACTAATGAGAAATACTGATCGCTCTAACTTCTGTATTCTTCGTGCCAACAGTTTCCCTCCTGTGGCAGGCGTTTTGCCAGTTGGGCTCAAGAGACGTCATCCTGGCGGGTGAGTGGTTAGCGCTTCTGCCCCACCGCTGTGAGGTTGGGGCTTCAAAACGAGGCTCCGGCCTTCCCAAGTGGATTTTGCGTGTTCACAGCGCTCTTAACAAAGGAATGGTTTTCCTTAAAGGGCCAGCATGCCCAAAAGCCCTCGTGTAAAGTTGCGGATTGAGTCGCCGTGTTTAATGAGGGCAGGAGCAAAGAATGGAGGCTTTGGACCTGAGACAGATGCTCTGCACAAGATTACACGAATAATCTGCACAAAGCGAGCGGCTGATTGACAGATCAACAAGGTCGCGATGTGGTCTGTAATCACAAGAGAAAAGTGGGAGCATTGATGTAACGGGAGGAGGAGGGTTCGGGACAACAAGGATGGCAGATGGGAACGGAAAGCAGGTCTCGGGATCACTTGAATTTTTTTTCCTTGAGCGACGCAAACAGCACCGCAGGCCAGTGTCGAGCAACAAAGAAAACAGACACAAAGCCGTCAGATTCGGCCATTTCAAACCCTTCAAAATATTTCTAGGCATGCTACTTGGCAATAAATGAAAATATGGGAGAAACGTTGGCGTTGGTCCCAATAGTAGGCGTAGCTTTTTCCTTTTTCCGTGGATGAATAAATGAGGCACAGTATGGCGGTGCGTTTGGAGCCAGCACACGCGACGGAATATATCTCTTTCGTAAAACTCATGACAATTACTTTGTGACATATAGGCCAAAGAGAAAATATCCTCCAGAGGATGAGTTCAAAGCGAGGACAGAAAAAAATGCAAACAGCTATACCTAATCATGTGGCCGCATAGGATCATTGGCGTGACCCGAACGAAAGTATGAGTGAAATACGAACGCTGTCATTTCACTCAAGCTTGATTTTCGAGAAACCAACAAGGAGAGAACATCGGCTGCGGCTGAGAAGCAAAACTACACACGACGAGAAACAGGAAGTGCTCTTTATTCCTGTAATCATCTGATTTTTATTCTGGAAAAGACCACTTTATTCACTCAGAGAAAGAGAGAGAGTACTATTTTGATATGGGGAAAAAAAAGCGTTTTGTCTGAAAACATACAACTTAATTCATTCGGAGGCTGTCGCAGTGATGGTGTAATGATGATGATGATGATGTCACACTTACATCGGAGCTTTTCATTGGACCAAAGCTAAGAGAGGGTGGAGTCATTGCTGCATGATGTCCGTCTTCATTTGCATGAATTTATGTTTGTATGTATGTATGTATGTATGTATGTGTGTGTGTGTGTTTATACAAAATACATGTGTCTATGTATACTGCATATATGTATGACGTAACCATTTATTGCAAATTAAAGCTACGGCTGGCGGACCCCCGGGGAGGCCGGCAGCCCACTTTGAGAACCGCTGCTGCGTTTGTAGAGACGGGAGGTTGTTACTTGGGTGGCTGGTACTGAATCAAGCGCAAGGCCTCCTCGTTGTCCAGAACCCCTTGGATGAACTCACCCTCGGCCACACGCTCTGAAACACACACACACAGCACAATAATGTCACATCCATGGCCCACGCAGCCCCCGACACCCCATTGAGGTTGCATTTGTTTTCCCCTCACCGTTTTCTCCCTTGTCAAAGAACTTCCAGAGTTTTTCAGCCCTTTTTTCTGCTGTGTTCTCATCAGAGGGAAGTCTGGGCACCTCGTCTTTGGGAATCAGCTTAAAAATGGCCTGCAAAACACACACACACACACACACACAGGCATAGGCATCATCATCCAGGTACAGCTCCACAATTTTTGCTCTACCAGGGCTAAAGAGGGGCTTGAGCGATACAAAGAGGGGGTGGGCTGAGAAAAGAATTCATAAATACAATTGTAAAATAGCAAATGAAATGCTAAGGATCTACAGCGATTTCTGACAGGGATTACATTACACGTGCACCCCTCGCCTGGTGTAGCACTATTGCTGTCGTCGTCATCATCATCATAACAGCCATCGAAGCACTAAAATAAGAATCCAGTGTCGGTGGTGTTGTGACAGTCGGAGGCTGAAAATCTCTCAAAATGGCAGCGCTTACAATATTTTTGTCACCCGCGTAATCCGACGGCGTTGCCAGAAGCCGCCGAGCGGCTTAACCAATGATTACCAGATGTGCTCTTCAGGCAGCCTCTGCCGGACTTCTTTTGTTCTGCCGTCAGATCAACTTTCATCACCCAAATTCTGAAATTCAAGTGTGGCTAACTTGAAATAGCAAACATTCACACCTGAAATGAAAGCTAATGATCAAACACCGCCTTGTCGCAATGACTTGGTGGTCTTGTGGTGCTAAAACATCAATGCGATATGGATCTCTCTCTCTCTCTCTTGGTCTCATTTTTTTAAAGGACAGTTCGTTGATAGATGAGGTTTAAAATCAAAGAGTTCGCGTTTACATGTATGACCTGATAATTATTTGTGAGGGATGGACTCGGCATGTGCGACCTTGGTCACACGGCGGGAGGACGCCATTCAGATGGCTAAACTTTGATTGGAAGCCCCTGGTGATTGGTTTTGAGTTCCCCTGCCTGCAAGTGTGGCTTTGGTGACGAGGACACGGCAGAGCGAGCTTTCCAGGTGACCTTAAGGAGCCTCGCTGGCTTAATGTGTTTATTGGGACCAATTCAAGTCTTAATCCTTCTCCTCATCACTTCAATCACGCTCGCAAGTTCCACACGCACGCAGATGCCATCTCCGTCCGTCGCAACACCTTCAGGCCTTCAAGAAGTCGCACTGACTCTTAAACAATGTCCACCCCCAACCACCCCACCGAGCCCTTTTGTTGTACATGAATCAGCCGTGTGCTTGGCGGCGGCAGTTTTCCCTCGCGTGCAACTTGCAGACTGTTTCCTGCTACTTTTCTGCCGGTGCGAAGCCGAAGTGCTTCCAAATAACGGACTTGAACAAACTATCTCCTCTCGGTTTGCCATCACATCATTAGATTGAACAGGGCACATCAACAGGCGAAGGAAGCCACTAAAGCACCAACTTGGTGTCAAGCAACTGTGTTGAAGTAATTGGAGGAGTTTCATTTAGAGGCAAATAGTGTTTTGCTGCCCTCATGTGGCATCTATGAGCAATTTTTTGGGGGGGTGGGTGTCAATCAATTGCACCTTTTCGCTACCGCCAAATCTTACCGTGCAAATTTCCTTGACCTCGGACTTGGTGATGTATCCGTTCTTGTCAACGTCAAAGAGCGAGAAGGCCCACTCCAGCTTCCTGGTGGTTTTCCCGGTGGACGTCATGTGCAGGGCAATGATGTATTCCTTGAAGTCCAGGGTGCCGTCGTCGTTAGTGTCAAAGGATCGGAAGACGTGCTGCGCGTACGTGTTGCCGTCGCTATCCGGGAAGAACTTGCTGTAGATGGACTGGAACTCCTCCTTGCTGAGACGGCCGCTGGGACACTGCCTCTTGAAGTTCTCGTACCACTGCGTGATCTCTGTCTCGGAGAATTTGGTGTGGAGCTTCAAGTCCTCCAGGATTTCCTTGGACACGGCGCTGCTCTTGGAGTTGCCCATGACTGATGATGTGGAAGGAACCGCACTCAACCTCGCTAGGTTCACCTTTTTATTGTCTAAAAATAAAAAGAAAAAATCATCCAAATTTTCAAAAAAAGGCAGTTTGGGTAGAGTCGAGTCTCTCACAAGCTTTCGACAGGTCCTAAACTTAGCGACTGAAGTCTATCTCAAGTCAAGTGATGTGATTCGACCCCCCCGACCTCCCACCTCTCTGGCTGATGTTGATGATGATGATGATTGCCACCAAGGAGCAGGTTATAATCTGGGAGCCTTGCCAAAAAAAGTCAGTCACTAGAGGAGAAGATTCTGGAAGGAGCACGCATCAGTAGATTGATCAAACTTGGATGAAAATGCTCACTGGGAGAACTTTCTGGCAAATTGTTTTTCATAGTTCGGGTTTTAGGTCTTACCTGTGTTGTCTGTGTGAGCAAGCAACAGATCCGTGCGGTACCGACGGGAATATTTAGTCTGGCGTCCGCCGAGGAAATCCGCCTTCACCTGCTGGGATTAGTCAATTAAACAGCATCACCCTGAGGAGGAGCCTGCACAGGAGAGCCCACGTGAGTCCCAACACGCACGCACGCACGCGCACTGTGATGATTTGATTCGGATGAACAACCCCCCCCACTACTAATTTAAAATTTCCGTTCTGATACATGACAAAGTGGCAGTTTCAAAACGTCAACTCGACATTGTCTTTTTCCCTTTCTTTGCCTCCCACCTCACCGGTGGAGCCACCAAGTACCAAGGAGGCCTCCCCTCGGCCCTTTGCCCAACCAGCTGGGACCCTCACCAGTGCTCACCATGGCCCCCCAAACTCTGCTTCTCTTTTTTTTTTTTCCTCCACTTCTCTTTTGACTTCACCCACCACGCTCATTTATCTCATGCGACTTATCGTATCACACATGAACTTGAGTAAGGCCATGTGTTTATTCGGGGCTGTGGGAGGAGAGTGGCAGCGGGTGTAAAATCAACATTGGCTCAAGCGAGACATGGGCACTGCAACTTTTCTTTACAGGCTGCGGTGGGTGTTTTCCACGACTGCACGGAAAGTGATAGGCACCTCTTCAGTTGCGCCTTCTTTCTCTGATTGGTTGGTTGAACGGCCTATTTTGGCAAAATAAGGAGTAGAACGGACAGATATCAGTTCTGGTAGTGTAGGTAGCGGGGTCGATGGAAAAAGTCCTCCAAAAAATCGATCCCAGAGTTAAGTACGGACACCTGAAAAATCAGTCCGTGCATATCCGTGCTTGTTTATGGCAGAGGGAATCCTGTGATTGAAAAGGGGGTGGAGAGATTAGCGACGGAGTCAGGCAGCCAAGGTGGCGAGTTGAGGCGGCCTCAAGAGGATTTGGCAGCAGAACAAAGCAACGGCAGAAAAGGCAACGGAAAGTAGTGGCCCTTCCAATGTCATCAAATCCCCTTGACCAGACTTGAAGGAATCTATTTTTAGAGGCAAAGTTCAAGCTCATTGTCGTCACACGGATGAGTGTGACCCTTGATCACCATGGTAACAAGTGCTCAGGGAGGACAAGCTAGAAGAAGGGGAAAAAAAAACAGACTCCTCCCTAGCCCTTCTCTTTTCCTGTCATGGACCTGTACTTTGCGGACACTACCGGTTCTTATGCCTGACCCCAGGGACAACTCGGGGTCCGTGAGCCACCATAAACTTGTCATTTCACTTTGTCAAAAGTACACCCCCCCCTTTTTTCCCCCCATATTTTTTCTTGAAAAAAATCACATTTTTTCTTTGGAAAATTAGAAGTTTTTATCCCGAGAAAACAGCTTTATTCTTGTAAAGATTTACTAATAGAGCACTAATTCCTTCTCATAACATCCCCCCCCACCCCCATATGAATTTATTGTAATGTTTCGTCATTAGCAGAAATTAAGTTCACTTGTGCACTAATGGTGTGAAGATCACTGGGGTGGGTGGGGGGGGTCTTGCAAATACTGTATTTCTAGTGTGTGTATGGTGAGGCCAGCAGCACACCCAAATGCCGTACCGGTGCACCCAAGCTCAGAGGAACCGATCCCCACATTCGTTCTCTGAGAGTGACGGTCGTCATCGCAACAGAGTACTTTGCTCTCTGGATCCTCCTCCCGAGGGGTCCACCTTCCCCCAAAGGACTGAAATTAAGGATGTCCCTGGACACAAATGAGTTGAAGTTTACGGGCTGCCTTCACAAAGATCAGTATTTAATTGCGATTCATCTGAATGTTGTTCTCAAACGTGACGGCATACTTCCTGTCCAATGCAATGACTGTTGACACTTGTAAATTTTCTTTTTCTATCTTTATTGAAATGTAAGGAGGGACCATCGAGTGACAATACGAAATGTACAAACATCCACATAGAGAGAAAGTGAAACGTTTCGGACAAGCTGCTTGACAATGAGCGCCGACTCCTCCCGGGGCTCAGCGGTGGATTCTGTACGTGCGGATCTTGCGGCTGAGATTACGAGCCAGGCGGTCCACGGCGCTGCCGACGTGTCCCAGCTCCTTTTGGGACGTCAGGCCTTCAATGTTTCCGCTGTACCACAGCACCCAGCCGCCCAGCGACAGCACCACCAACAGAGCGCCTGCGCACAACACACATTACAGTTTTTTTCTTGTTAAGGTCTGCCCCCGCCACCCCCTGACCCTCCTTCACCCGCTTCTATTTTTCTCAATATACAGTAGAGTTGATCACATGTCACTGACATACGGTATGTACTTTTCAACCTTTTTATGAATCGGTGTTTTTAAGCTCTGGTGGGAAAAAAATGCTTCAATTCAACGAGAAAGTGGCTGTGATGGAGAGTCCATTACTGTACTCTGCAAGGTGTGCGTGCGTATACCGGTGTAGACAAGAAGGTCGCCAAAGTCTCGTCCTTTCACCTCTAGAGGGGCGAAGACCCCCAGTAGTAGGGCGGTGCCCCCCAGCACGTCCATGAGCACGGCGATGGCCAGAGCCAGTTTGCAGTGGGACAGGCCGTCACACAGGCCCATGATGGTTGATTTTGCAGGTGAAAGAGCAGCCTTGAAGAAATTAAATTAAAAATACTTTTGGACGCCAAAGTCATGTAAACGATTCGTAAAGGCTTCAACATAGAGGTGAAGTAAGCAAAAGAAAGGCTTATGCAGCAAACACACACTCATAGATTTGAGCGACGAGTTTTTGGAAAGCGGTCTGGAGTTGCATGCATCCAAGTTAGACCAGAAAGGCAAAATGTGTAAAAGATCATGACACACGAATGGGACTTACTTTTTATATTTGCACTGCATCAAATCCTTCTTTTAACGTCTTTAATCTTTCCTCGAGAGCATTTCGAACCGCTTTCTTTTTGTTTTTGTTCCCACTTAACTTTCTTCACTTCCGCATTTTTTTACCTGCACCCCGCCTATATGACGTCACCCTATTTTTTTACACGTTGGGTGCGTCAGCACATGGACGAGCACAATGAGCATCCGGGTACTTGAGGCAGGAGCCATAACGGTGTACTGCGCATGCCCGTGAGTCTGACCACCTGTTGGGACTTCTTATAATCAAGTAATTGGTCGTATTACAGAAGAATAAACCTCAAAGTTTCCCTCGACTTATCGGGCGACGAAGTGAACGTCAAACGCGTCTTTCTGTGCTCTGTTTGCAGGATGAATCCAGCGTGCAGCTCGGACGATGCGAGCATGCCAGGTAACGGACCGAAACTTTTCATGGCTGACAAACTGCGAGATGCGTTTCAAAATGTTCCACGAGCAAGAATGTCGCCTACAGAGGAGAGCCAGAATCTTCTGTCATCACTTCTTATTTATTTAATCTGCTTTTTTTGTTTTGTTTCCTTTTCTCAAAAAACGCACACGGAATGATTTGTGTTATGACTCCTTTACAGATTTGTTCGTTGTCCGATATCAAACTCAGGTAACGGACACTTGCAAGTGGAAGCGTTTATATGCCCTCTGCCCGGCTCAATCCGAGTATTAGACAGTGTCAGGCGGTTATTTGCCTACTACTTATGTCAATCACATGTATTAGACATTGCTGGGTGTTTATACGCCTGCTACTTTAGGTCTGTCTCAGGTAATAGACCGTGCCAGGTGCCATAGTTTATGCCTGTTACTTGGGCCATTCTCAGGTCATAGACAGTACCAGGTGAAAGAGTTGATCGCTAACTACTCGTTGGGTCAACCTTAGAAAATGGGCAGTGTACACACACACACACACACACACACACACGCACACACGAAATCAAATTGCTCCAATTTTAAACTTGTCAAGTGTCGAATTTGTTTCATTAATGCCTTTAAAATGACATTGAGGTTATAGGGATAACTTGAGTATTAAGAAAAAAAAAGCTTTCATATATCAGTAAATGACAGTTCATTTTTTTAAATAAATAGTTGTTAAGCAATGAGCAGCATTTTGTGATCTTCCTCATGATGATTACAGCTTATCAAGACTTTGTTTTTATTTTATTTTTTTTTTCATAACACTTGTCATTTCCATCACTTCGGATGTTTATTGAGCAGACTAAGGCACAATTTGACTTTGGAGCAATTCACTCAGAATTACTGTTACGCCACTGTTAATTTTCACGTCGTCTGTACAAAATAATAATGTTCACGTGTGATTGATATTATCATGTAACGATATGTTTAGAATTGCCGTTGTAATTTGCAGTGGTGTGCGTCTGTACTGTGACATACTGAATCCTGTTCACTGTTTTGTGTGGCTATGTAATTGACGCAAAATATTAGGAATCTCGATATGAAGTTACGGATCCGGTGAGAGTGTGTACATACAAGTGTCTTGTTAGTTTAGACTAGTGTTGTGTTCTGTTTCATGTGATCAGCTCATGACATGGCTACTGCAGCAGCAGCAGCGGCAGGAGGAGGAGGCAGAGGAGGTTTGTACCCAGAGTGTTACGAGGTGTCTTTCCCCATCGAGGAGGGCATGGAGAGGCTCACCTCCTACCACCACGGCCAACAGATGCCGGACGGTACGGATCTCGCAGTGAACAAAAATGACAAAACAGGAGTGATTTGGCTCAATCTCTGGGATCGAAACAAAAGCCTGCCGTCTTTCTCCCGCATCACTGTAACCAGATGCTTTTTTTGTTGTTAGAACCCAGCATGCAGGAGGCGCCCCCGTCTCAGTACAGCCCCTTCATCCTGGTGTCCAACCTGCGGGCTCACCTCTACGTGGCGCTGGAGAAGAACGCCTGGCTGCAGAGGCGCATCGAGGAGCTAGAGGAAGAGCGCAACTTCCTGCGCTGCCAACTGGACCGTCTCATCGTCGGCATGCGGGGGCTGGAGGGTGAGCAGGGGGGTTTGTCGCACCTTCACCGAGTGCTGTGCCATTTATGCGTTTCTCGTATCCATGTAATTGTTGTGCATTACTTACAGTTTGCTAACAACATGGCATAACAACATTTATCACTGTTGACAATTTAGACATTTGGTCACTACTTTGGAAAGACAGCCACAATATGCGGGAATCAGATTGTATCAACTGACTTTGAGGAAAATGTGGCGGGGGGGGGGGGGGGGGGGGTTCTTACAAATAAGAAACCAAGCGCGCTTGGATCAAGTAGTATGCCGCTCCCAGTTGAGTGTATTCTACTGCTGACATATAAAAGAAAAGGTAATGAAACATTGTGTATCCAGGCACCATTTTGCCATTGGCGTCGACTGAAACTGACATCACAGTGCCTAAGAGCTCAGGTAACAACCAATCACAGCTCACCAGTTTTCTGGGTTTGCTGAACTGAGCCGTGCTTGGTCAAGACTTGAGTACCGAGCAACTGTGATGTGACTTTTGGTTGACAGCGAGTGGCAAAATGGAATACATGGAACATGTTATTATCACGAAAACGGTTAACTTGACTTCCCCTTTTAAGGCAACAAAAATCCAATTGAAAATGTCGTTTTGTGAGCAGACAAAGTCATTTTTTTTAATTGTCAGAGTGGTGTGGCGGCGCCCCACGTGGTGTGAAGGTGCAGCCTGCCAGCCCCACTAGGCCCCCCTCACCTATGACCACCCGCTCCGGAATGACCCTGAAGCGCCTGCAAGGACCCGGACAGCGGCCACACCATGGAACTGCCATCCCTGGTGAGGAACATGTGACGGATAAAAAAAAAAAATGTTTTGGTGGATCTGTTGATGTACGACGCTACGGTGAATTTTCCTGAGAGCAGTCAAGCAAGAGTTTCACCTGGAGGAGGAAAACTTCTACACGGACGAGGAGTACTTCGAGGAGCAGGAGGAGGAGCAGGAAGAGGTTGACGAAGAGGAGGACACTTTGCTGGAGGCCAGCATCAAGAAGAAGGGCCGAGGGCGAGCCGGCGAGCCCAGGATGAAAATGAGGAGGATCTTTCGCATCACCCACGGCAGGGAGAGGCAGAGAGGTAAGAGGTCAAGGCACCAGCGAAAGGGCCTTTCCCAGCCGCGTTTGCCTGGCATGAGAAATGCTCCCCTGTCACTTCCAAAATGATTCGTCCGTGATGACTTACAATCTGTCCACGCCAGCCACGTAGAGTGATAGGCAGAACAACGAAATGCTTTCCAACTCGATGGCATCCGAGCTTTAAAAGTGGAGAAGAATATCAATTCAAAGCTTCCGGTCAACATCCGGTTCTTTATGTGTGAACCCAAACAACTGAACTCCCTCGCAGTCAAAGACCCGGACGGTGTTTTGATCCGCTACAAGAAAATCCTGGCCACCTACCAGCGTGTGAGAAGCATGTCCCGAGCTTTCCAGATCCACGGGGTGGACCGTAACACCATGGCTTCCACGTCTCCAATCGCCGAGCTCCTGCTGGTGGCGCCAGACAAGGTCTCAGTTCTTTCTTTCTTTTTTTTCCTAATGTTCTTCGGTGGCGGGCCTGTTCCTCCTGTGGGGGACCGATTGTCGTCACATCATAGTTAAACCGACTTGATAAAATAAGACGAGAACATGAAAACAATCTTCAATATTTGTTCGACAACTGACAATATTTGGATTTGAAATGATGTGGTCAGTACAGTGAAACTCCTCTACAGCGAAATCATGTTTGCAGCAAGAAATCTTTCACAACAGGGGTTTTTTCACTGCAGAAAATTTGATCTCAGATGTAAACACACACACACACACACACATAAGTATGTGCATACACATATTTGACACTTCATATAGTCAGTGTAGAAAGAAAAAAAGGGAAAGAAATTGCGAAATTTACGATCGGCATTCACTTTCACTTACATCAATTTCTTGGCTAATGTTTTATTTTGCTTCCTCCATCTTTCATTTTGATCACTTTTACCCTCTCTTCCAGCGTCAGAGCTCTTGTCTTCGCTGCTTGACATCCAAAGGTCCGTTTTGTAGCCATTTTAGCAATGCAACGTTCTTGCTGCGTCTGAAACTAACAATAACAAATACTTCCTGGACTACTGCGCATGTGTAAACCAGTGTGGTGGTTGCTTTTGCCGTTTCCGAACAAAGCAGTAGAGGTCGCTGTTGGATTAGACTTCGTTGTAGTGAATCTCGTCGCGAGGCAAGAGCAGAGAAAAAGATTTCGTATAACGCAACAGAATTTTTTTTCGTTGTATGGGGGGCAGGAGAGTGGGAATGGTGTTAATGCATGAAGATTTTTTCACACTAGGGGGTATTTTCGCCCATGTAGGTTTTGTTGTAGAGGAGTTTCACTGTACTTCATTGTGTTAAAAAAAGAAAGAAAGAAAGAAAGCACAACCAGTGAAACTGTTCATGTTGCCGCGTCTTGTCAGTTTTTCCAGAGCTGTAGTTGAAGTTCCACAGGCCAACACGCACAACAGATTTTGAGGGCCCCTGGCACATTTGATGGACATAGCAACACACATAAACACACATGCTGAAATTCGATTGGACCGTAAAAATCATTGAGGCAATAAATACATCTGAACATCCAGCAAAGTATTACGGCTACGAAACACAACCGGACTGTCCGGACTGAATACTTGGTTAGAGTACGCACTCATTCCTTTGACTGCCGCAGATGGCCGAAGTGGGCGAGTTTGAGGCGGCCAAGGAGAAGCTTCTGGACTACGCCAGACGCTGCTACAAAATCATGGACGAGCAGACGCACGACAAAGTTCAGACCATGAAGAAAAGTCACAAGCTGCTGCCTATCTCCTACCGCTTCAGGAACTGAAGCGCCCCACATCCAGCGTTGACCCTTTGGCCAGAAGAAAAAGGTGGACTTCGATGGACTTCCGCGCGTTGCGTGAAGCTACTTTATTTATCCATTTATTTATTTTTCTACTTTATCCAACATTTCTGGAGGCAAGTCCCAGTTAAATGATAAGAAGTGACCTCAGTTCTTTTGAGATCCGTTTTATTTATGCCTTCGAGTTTACACGGCATGTACATTTAGAAGTCGGATTGCCAAACATGTTGCACGCTCTGTTTAAGTTGTTCTGGTCATTGTCATCATGTTGGGCAAATAAAAGTTGACATTTTTGCAACAAGCTACCTCGACTGTTTCATTATGTGTTGATTTTGACATTTGATTTTGACGCAAATGCATGTTGGGTTACAAATTCGAACTCCGATGGCACGACTGTATTTTACTTCCATTCCTAAAGCGCTTCCCGTCAGACAAGGACAGTGCACACCCTCGAAAAAAAGTACTTCTGTGACTTTGCCGCTTACTGAATTTTCTGAACATTTAGAATCAGCAAATTCAAACTGACTAACACTGTTTTTGGTTCCTGTTTCCCAAATGTACTTTTGATTTACTGAAGCTCCCCACTTCACATCAACAGAGTTCCTTGGCAATAAGGTGGCGCCAACAGTCCTGGATGGTTCGACTAAATGCCGGACCGGAATGTTGACGGAGAAAAACTTACACATGTTTGGGTCAAGCTGTAAATTGTTTTATTTCACACATTTGCATGGACATGCCATCTGCTGATGGTTTGCGTTGTTCCTTTGAATCTCTTACAGGCAGTCCTGGGCCATCCGCGGACATTCGAGCGCATAGCAAACTCCATTTGTTTCTTCGAACGCCAAGTGTCACGTGAACAAGAACAGGGGAAAGGAAAGGAGGAGGAGAAGCGCGTAGTGGTTTATCCTGGCCGTGAAGAAGTCTTCATACTTTCTTTTCAAACTACTCTTTGAATACTACAATAACAGTGCATGTCTGGCTTTTAAACTCCACCTGCAGGTGTGTGTGTGTGTGTGTGCGGTTGTGTCTGTGAGCGTGTGCGTAGGTGCGCACGTGTCCATACAGCATCATCCCCCTTGGGTCATAAGAGTCCAGTGCATATCTTTTAACTTGCATGTGAGTTGCCCTTCGTACATGGCTCAGTGTGTGCGTGTGCGTGTGATTTTCACAGGACGCTGGGGTTCCTAAAGTTGTGTCCTGCAAAGCGGGCCTGGTCTCCCAGCTCCTCTTCGATTCTGCGGACAAGAAGACGGAATGGAGTGAGGAGCAAATCGCATTCTGGGAATTGTGTTGATGATGTCACCAGGTGTGGTCCGAGTGCCCCCCCCCCCATTAGCATTTGATGGCTAACGCTAAAGTAAGTTTGAACTGGATCTGATCACCGAACCTCCCACAGCTTCACTCTTCCTCATTTTCCCTCCTCCTCCTCCTCTCCCTCACGCTTCCTCATCCCTGCTGACGCAAATGATTGTGGGTCTGCAGGTGTGGCCACTGACCTCATGAGCTGGTTGTATTTGGCCAACCTTTCGGACCTGCACGGGGCGCCGGTCTTTATCTGCAACACACACACACACACAAGTCAAATTGAAAGTCTTTGAGGATAGCGCGTGTGCGCATGCGTGTGCGCATGCGTGTGCGCGCACCTGTCCGGTGCACAGTCCGACCACCAGGTCTGCGATGAAGGTGTCCTCGGTCTCCCCGGAGCGATGGCTGACCATGACGCCCCAGCCGTTGGCCTGAGCCAGTTTGCACCTGCAGGGGGCGACTCTCGCATGAGAAGGGGAACGGGAACACACGGGAAGTGGTGGCATCTTGCTTGATTCATCGCCACGGTGACCGTCAGTCAGGTAACAGACATCATCTTGATTTTCGTTTCGCTCGAAGACATTGTAGTTCATTACATGTCTTGCGAGGGAAGTTGGGGCTGGAAAGGAGCCAAAACCCCAACCTTGGATTGAGAGTCCAATTGTAATTGAAAGCCGAGTTTGAAACCCGACTTTGAAACCTTAAAATTGGCTTCAAATCCAAATTTCAGAGGCTAGCCCTTGTCTTAAAGACCTTTCTTGAGAGCCTAACTATTGTTTGAAATCCCAATCCGCAATGAAACCCTGACCCTGCCTTGAAACGCTAACATTAAACCTTAACCCTCGTCCCAATTCAAAGCCTAAGTGAAAAGGTGAACTCTGGTTTGAAAAGGTGAACTCTGGTTTGAAAGGCTAACTCTAGTTTAAAACCCTACTTTGGAATCCTAACCTTGGCTGGATACCTCAACGCTAGTTTGAAATGGAGGTTTCAAATTATCGCGTTAATTGCGAATAAGTAATTACAATCATATTTAGCGCGTTATGTTTTTTTAATCGCGTTAATCTAAATTTTAATCTCTAGCTTTAGGGTTTCTGTAGGTGATATCAATCTTTTGATCTGCCTCAGTAATGTAATGAATTTAAAATGAAAATAGGGGTGTTCTCAGCCACTTTTAGATGAGATTAAAATATAGATTAATTAGATCAATTAATTTCAGATCATAATTAATTAATCTCACCATTTTTTTAATTGCTTGACAGCACTAGTTTTTATCTTACTTTGAAACCCTCCCCTTGGCCTGAAACATTCAAGCACTGTAAATCCTTCACTCTGGACTGAGGTTTGAAACCATAAGACAAGTTTGAAGGCCTCATTTGAAAGCCAAACCCTGGTTTGACATCCGACCTTTAGTTTTTAACGTTTGAGTTCTTGTTGTTGCTCGTTGCCATTTTTGCATTTGTGATGCGTACGCTTGTATGGCCTCGCTGACGGAGCCGATTTGGTTGACTTTGAGCAGCAGGCAGTTGCAGGCGCGTTCCTCGGCCGCCTTCTCGATGCGCTTGGGATTGGTGACCGTCAGGTCGTCGCCCACCACCTGGATGCCAACCCGGGCCGTCAGACGGGTCCAAGCCTCCCAGTCGTCCTGGTCAAACGGGTCCTCGATGGACACCACTGGCAGAGGAGAGAGGGTGGAGACATGTCACACCGAGTTGGGGGGGGGGGTTCCAGGAGTCCCGGCAAATCTCGTTGGGTCAGGGTCCACCCACCCGGGTAGTTGTTGACGAAGCCCTGGTAGATGTCGGCCAGCTCCTCTGCGCTGACGTGGCGCTTGGCGTCCGGCGGTGACTTGAAGTCCAGGTCGTACTTGCCCTCGCGGTAGAACTCGGAGGCGGCCACGTCCATGCCCACCACCACCTTGTCCGTGAAGCCCGCCTTGTCGATGGCAGTCTGAAGAAGGTCCAAAGCTGGTGGCGCCGGAATGACAGGGACAAACATCATTGTTGTCACCCGTACCATCATATGAATTGATCTTGACGTCAACGTCATGCACGTCAACATCATGAGCATCGTTGACATTGACAAACTCATCATTGGCATCATTTCCGATTGTTGTCGACGTTGTCGGTGACACCGTTGACGTGAATGTCATCGACATCGGCAGAAGCGTGGACATCGTCGTCATTGGCATGGAAGGCATCTCTCTCATCATCCTCACCCTCGCTGTTCTCCAGGATGTTGGGTGCGAATCCTCCCTCGTCTCCCACATTGGTGGCATCCTGTCCGTACTTCTGCTGGATGACGCCCTTTAGCGTGTGGTACAGCTCGGAGCCTATCCTTAAGGCCTCTCTTCACCAAGAGCGCAAACAAACACGCAGTCAGCCGCGCCGAACCACACATTCCGTCTTTCAAAGTCTTACTTGAAGGACTCGGCTCCCACGGGAAGCACCATGAACTCCTGCATGGCCAGCTTGTTCCCGGCGTGAGAACCTCCGTTGATCACGTTGAACGCCTGCACGCAAAACAAGGCACGCCGCCAAAGTAGATGGGGAAGAGGAGGGGGAGGAGCAAGAGCAAGTGAGGAAGCGGAGGAAAAGACAACGAGAAGGAAGAAGTGAGCAAGAGCGGCAGGTGAGTGACCAAGTATACAGCTTGTCCGTATTTTTCGACTCACGGGCACGGGCAAAACCATTTCCGTGTTTCCAGCCAGGTCGGCGATGTGTCTGTAAAGGGGCACGTCCTTGTGGGCGGCGCCCGCCTTGCAGACAGCCAATGACACGCCCAGTATGGCATTGGCCCCGAACTGAGCTGCGGGCCAGTCACATGACAGGAAGCCATTTGTCACATTCTCGTGCAAACTTTGCGCCCGCAGAACGACTTGTCACTGTCCAGAATTCCAAATCTTACATTTGTTGTCTGTACCGTCCATCTCAATCATTATGTTGTCCAGCTGCTCTTGTTCCACCACGCTGAGGCCCTTCACACACACACACACACACACACACACATCAGGACATGTGACCAGAGTTGTCAATAGTCACCGTAATACTCACAGAGGCGATAAGTGCAGGACCCAACGCGCCGTTGATGTGTCCGACGGCCTTTAGGACGCCTGAAGTGCGCACGGGAGAGAAGAAAAACAAACTTTTCATGTTCATTTCGATCCAAAGACACGCGGTGAATCCCACACGAGACCACCACGGAGGCCAGAAAAAGCTCCCGACAGACCCGAGACTCAGTGTGGGGTGGCCATCTGCCTCCATCGCTCCCGGTGAGATCGAGGACAGCGAGAGAGGATCGAAAGAAATGAAAGCACAGGCTCCTGGTTGCCCCCTCTTGGTGACATGTTGAAGTGCGCCCACTAACCTTTTCCCTTGTATCTGCTCTTGTCTCCATCCCTGAGCTCCAAGGCCTCGTAGATGCCCGTCGATGCGCCGCTGGGAACCGCCGCGCGAAAGACTCCTGCGCGGCAAGATGAAAAAAAAGTTGCCTTGTAGGTGAGTTATTGAGAGCATTGGTGGCGGTAATGCACCTTGAAGCTGCTTTGACACTAGATTTGGCGCAGCCGTATTTTGTGCAAGCAAACATCCGTGCTGTTAGCCATTAGCCCATCTATGGCGTGTCGCATTAAATGTGAGCTAGTTAAAGATGTTGTGGTCAGTATTCAATGTTGAATTGTTTTTGGTTTCATGTCAGTGTGCGGTTGCGTTCACCTTTGTCGGTGCGGAGGTCCACCTCCACTGTGGGATTCCCTCGGGAGTCCAAGATTTCCCTGGCCACGATGCTGACAATCGACATCCTGCTGGAGACGCACAGAAAGAGAGCAGGTGAGCCAACTTCCCGTGTATGCTCTGCTGACTTCGCATCACAGCGGCTTGATGAAGTGATCCTTTCAAGCCCAAGTGGCTAAAATGTTGTTTTCTTGATTTCTTCCCACCTGCCTGCTGTGCCATGATTATTCCAAGCAGACACCATTGCAGCAAGATGTGCTGAAGTGTAAACTTGATGGACATTTGGAGTTTGATGACTTGAGCGAGTGTCAACAAACTCCAAATGAACTTAGAATTTGACGGCTGTAACACATTTGAAAAAAAGCTGCAGTTGAGGCGTGCTCATCAAACGGGTGAACCGGGTAACTGGGAAAAATGCGGGTGCCATTCTCGGCGAGGAAAAGGAATTGCTCAGTCATTCACAAGCAAAGATGGGGAGAGGTTCACCTCTTGGTGAACAACTGCGTGAGAAAATAGTCCAACAGTTTAACTCTTTCATTCCACAAGACGTACTTGTACGTCTTTTTGTGCGTCGAAGTCTAAGTCTTTTTTTTTTTTTTTTTTTTTTTGCGTCATAGAGAGGAGGAGAGTTTGATGCAATCTGTGAATGAGAATAATCCGTTTGCATTGTAAATCATGTAAAAAAGCGACCAGTAAGTGGCAGTGGTGCCTCACGTGCTTGAAATGTATGCTTTTACAAAAAGCTCTTTTTCTCCGTTTTTTGCAGAGGAATCTCCGTTTTCATGAAACTTAGCCATTTTGTAATGCCGTTTGCTGAAGAATGGAAAAGATAGAAACAATTTGTTTTTTCGGATGAAAGAAGAGAGTTTATTTTGGTAGGCTCCATGTTTATATAGCATTAGAACCAAATATTCTGTGGGCCTTGAAAGATCAGTCAAAATCCAGTAAAATGCTGGGATTGAGGGGGTTGCTCCAGTGAAAATGGCTGCGATTGAATGAGTTTTTAAGGAGAATGTTCTTCAAAAAACAAGGGATTGAGGGATTTCGTCATCTAGGCTCTGTGGTATCATCAAAAGGATCAGAGAATCTGGAAAATCTGCAGGGAATTGTCGATTACATGGGAATGCGGAATGTACCCATTTGCTGAATTTGGTCGTGTGATGTTTGTAACGTGAGCCCGTTGGGACACGTTGACGTCAATTTCAGTCGACAGCACGGCAGCAGTGTCGTTTGTCTGCCCCCTGAGATGGAGGAAAACAGGTGGGCTTGATTCTTATTCCGCCAACAGTGAGGACAAGCGGTGCAGATAATGGCAGGGTTGGACAATGCTTTCATTCCTTTGATTCGTGTGTTTACAGCTAACTTCAACCGGGAGTGACCGCTTGAAGCAAGCACGACGCGCGCCTTTTTCGGAGAACTGCGCAAGTATCTTTTCATTTCCTCAAAGTGATGTTATACAACCGTCTCCCGTTGGCTCCTTGTCACAGAGATGGCACATATATCGCCAAAGCACTCTTTTTGTCTCTGTTGTTAAAGCGCCGTATGACGAAAGCTGCGTTGAATCAATGAAACCGGTCAACTCACTTCAACCTAGATCAGGATGGCGTTGGAGTAACACTTGTGCTCTGTTTTCGCAACAATAGCTTGCTCTCATTTTCATGATTGTTATTGGACAGAAGTGAAGGAAAATTGTGGCAGGCTGTGGCGGAGCATAAAAAATAATCCGGTGGAACCCATCTTGGCCGGGAGCCTTCCATTTCACATCCGTGAAGTCCCTAATGTAGTGTCCCCTGAGTGCGTCCCAAAAGAATTGGCGCAGTTCCTTGGTTGTCTGCAGGAATCCACTCAAACGTCTCTTCCTTTTCCTTGATTTCCCTTCGCTTGCTCGCTCGCCTGCGCGTTGGCGCGCGTTACGTAAGCCCGCGCGGAGCGAGGGTGGGAGGACCCTGAACGCATCACCACACCTTCCTCCTTCCACAGACCGCAGTGCTCGCCACATAGCACAGCAGACACCGCGCGTGCTGCAGCACATCGTGGGTAAAGCCACACTGGCGACATTTTTTAGCCACTGCCAGGGAATGTTGGACCCCCCCTGTCCCATCGTTTTTTTGTGCGTCGAAGTCTAAGGCTTTTTTTTTTTTTTTTTTTTTTTTTTGCGTCATAGAGAGGAGGAGAGTTTGATGCAATCTGTGAATGAGAATAATCCGTTTGCATTGTAAATCATGTAAAAAAGCGACCAGTAAGTGGCAGTGGTGCCTCACGTGCTTGAAATGTATGCTTTTACAAAAAGCTCTTTTTCTCCGTTTTTTGCAGAGGAATCTCCGTTTTCATGAAACTTAGCCATTTTGTAATGCCGTTTGCTGAAGAATGGAAAAGATAGAAACAATTTGTTTTTTCGGATGAAAGAAGAGAGTTTATTTTGGTAGGCTCCATGTTTATATAGCATTAGAACCAAATATTCTGTGGGCCTTGAAAGATCAGTCAAAATCCAGTAAAATGCTGGGATTGAGGGGGTTGCTCCAGTGAAAATGGCTGCGATTGAATGAGTTTTTAAGGAGAATGTTCTTCAAAAAACAAGGGATTGAGGGATTTCGTCATCTAGGCTCTGTGGTATCATCAAAAGGATCAGAGAATCTGGAAAATCTGCAGGGTATTGTCGATTACATGGGAATGCGGAATGTACCCATTTGCTGAATTTGGTCGTGTGATGTTTGTAACGTGAGCCCGTTGGGACACGTTGACGTCAATTTCAGTCGACAGCACGGCAGCAGTGTCGTTTGTCTGCCCCCTGAGATGGAGGAAAACAGGTGGGCTTGATTCTTATTCCGCCAACAGTGAGGACAAGCGGTGCAGATAATGGCAGGGTTGGACAATGCTTTCATTCCTTTGATTCGTGTGTTTACAGCTAACTTCAACCGGGAGTGACCGCTTGAAGCAAGCACGACGCGCGCCTTTTTCGGAGAACTGCGCAAGTATCTTTTCATTTCCTCAAAGTGATGTTATACAACCGTCTCCCGTTGGCTCCTTGTCACAGAGATGGCACATATATCGCCAAAGCACTCTTTTTGTCTCTGTTGTTAAAGCGCCGTATGACGAAAGCTGCGTTGAATCAATGAAACCGGTCAACTCACTTCAACCTAGATCAGGATGGCGTTGGAGTAACACTTGTGCTCTGTTTTCGCAACAATAGCTTGCTCTCATTTTCATGATTGTTATTGGACAGAAGTGAAGGAAAATTGTGGCAGGCTGTGGCGGAGCATAAAAAATAATCCGGTGGAACCCATCTTGGCCGGGAGCCTTCCATTTCACATCCGTGAAGTCCCTAATGTAGTGTCCCCTGAGTGCGTCCCAAAAGAATTGGCGCAGTTCCTTGGTTGTCTGCAGGAATCCACTCAAACGTCTCTTCCTTTTCCTTGATTTCCCTTCGCTTGCTCGCTCGCCTGCGCGTTGGCGCGCGTTACGTAAGCCCGCGCGGAGCGAGGGTGGGAGGACCCTGAACGCATCACCACACCTTCCTCCTTCCACAGACCGCAGTGCTCGCCACATAGCACAGCAGACACCGCGCGTGCTGCAGCACATCGTGGGTAAAGCCACACTGGCGACATTTTTTAGCCACTGCCAGGGAATGTTGGACCCCCCCTGTCCCATTATTTCATTGAGAACGCATGACACATAACAGCAAGTGACGTGTGTTTCTTTCAATCTGTCCGTCCGGGCTCACGCACGAATAAGGCAGGCGGATTAAGACAGAAATGTCGTCGAAAGGGAGGTGGAAGCTAAAATGGAGCAAGAGATAAATAATTAAAGGGGCTAGTTTGGAGACAGAAGGCATGCGGCACATGCACGCCCGCGCGCCGGGGGGAAGTGGAGCACGCGCGCGTCAGTGCCTTCATTGAATTTGTTTCAAGTGGACAATCGACTCCTATTTTAAGACTACAAGCTGATCAATTTATTGATTTGAACATTTGACTTCCAGCACGGAGTGCCAACAACACACTAAATTTAAGCAGGTCACGCACGCGCACACGTACACGTTCACCTGACAGCTATTTAACATGAACGCACTAAGGGTCTGACATCGAACACACACACACACACACACACACACACACACACATGCTTGGACATTCCTACTTGAACACACAGACAAGCATTTTCTTTGCAATATACACACTGATGTGAAAGAAAAGAAACACATGCGCACACACGAAGTAGAAATGAGAGTAGAATGGGATCTTTGGGCAAAATCCCTCACGTGTGACAACTCTGATGCCCCAACGGTGTCAACACATGTCCTCACGCACACTTTTTTTTTTTTTTAACGATAGTACGCACACCCTCACCATGACAAAATCGCTGGAACCACACACACTCTTGCTAGAATAATGCCCCAAAACACACACACACACACACACACACACACACACACACACACACACACACACACGACATTTCTGCAGCATAGATGCATCCGATCACACACACGCAGCACAGCACTAAAGATTGCGACGTCATCGTTACCTGCCTGCCGTGCGCGTCTTGGCGAGAGCCTGAGATACAAGCAGCGAGCGGGGAAAACAGGGCGGGGGGGAGGGGGGGAGGAGACGATGGGGTGTTTGGGATGGAGGGGGAGGAGGATGTGATGATGGAGGGATAGGGCTGAGGTGTAGAGGACGACGAGTGGGCGGGGGGGGTGTACTCCGCAGTGGGGTCTGTTTTACTTGTCTTACATAATCCATCCTCCAGCAGAGAGGATCCTCCCTCCTTCCATCCAAAACAATCGCACCAGCAGTCACGGTGCTGCTCATGCTACAGCTAACTCAATGCCCTGTGTGTGTGTGTTGCGTGATCATGCAATATTGTAAAATGTGTGTCTGCAGTATTGTGCTAAGTGTGTACGTGTGTCGAATGACACCTTACATATGTAAAACAACTGCCGAAATTTGCCTGACGAAAGAGCGCTTAGCTTAATGCCAACAAATGCCACAGACAGGCTCATGGGTGTCATTGTTGATGTGGCTTCACAAATCCTTCACGCAAACACATAGCGGTGCGGCAACGCATGTCGAAAGACAAATTACAGTACTCGCGGTCATATATTGTGTCTAGTCAGCGAAAAACGGATATTCTGACAGCACTTTATAGTATCACTGGACAGACATTTCTTCGTGTGTGTGTGTGTGTGTGTGTGTGTGTGTGTGTGTGTGTGTGTGTGTGTGTGTGTGTGTTTAATAATGCCCCCAGGCGGCTGAGGCACACACACCCAAAGGCATGACTTGTAAGCTTTTGAGGAAACACGCGGCTGTTCAAAGGATTTTTTTTTTCTTGCACTTGCGAGCAAAAATTTGAGATACAAGCCTTCGATGGTGTTGCAACAAAATGACACGGTCAATGTAAGAATAACCACAAGCGTATATTCTTTATCCTCTGCAAAGTAGAAGTAATCTTTCTGCAGATTACTGAGTCACTTTTTCAGCATCGTTGATTTTCTGCTGCCACTAAGTGGTGCACACCGAATGGCGCTGCAATGGATTCATCTTGATACACAAACTGTTGAATAATTCATTCCATGTCATTATGACATTTTTGTATTTTTTTTACAAGGAGGGCGAGTTCCCTCTTTTGAAAAAAAAACAAAACTCTAGATTTTGTAAATTTGTTTTTGGGGAGGTTGGATTGGATTAATGGCATTTCCATTCACTTCAATTTTGTTCCAGCGTTCTGAGTGACAATTTATGGTCACAAAATTAATTAATCTCATATCTAAAGGTTCCACTGTGTATAATCTCTTATGCGGGTTTTTTGTCATTAAAAGAATGAAATGTGTAGAGTAAAAATAACTGACATTACATTTTCAGTGTTTGAATGCTGATCGATCTTTTTGATGAGGACTTAAATCGATCAAGAGAGTCAAGCAAAAATATAGGTGCACATATTAATGTGACATTATTTAATTGTGTATGTCTATTTTCACCACAAAGAATGGTATCCATCCTTCCATCCATTTTCCAAACCGCTTTATCCTCACAAGGGTCGCGGGGCGTGCTGGAGCCGATACCAGCTGTCTTCAGGCAGTAGGCGGGGGACACCCTGAACCGGATGCCAGCCAATCGCAGGGCGCAATAAAAAATGGTAAAGAGTAGAAATTTACTTTTTTTCCCCACTTCTTTCATCAGGAAATACCCTTTGATAGTTTCCATGCTTATATAGCTAAATTTTTTGTAAGCCTTCAAAAATTTGTCAAAATGGTCAAAAATGGCTGGCACCGACTCTCACAATTTGAGAGATACAATTTGAGTGAGTTAAATATTACAATAAATTGGAAGGAGGCATATTTGTAACAAAAAAACAAAAAGATCTGTTCGGTCAAGGACGACAATTCTAGCCAAGTGAACAACTTCCAACCACAGTAAGTGAAAAGAAAAAACACAAGGTCGATATTGTTAGAAGCAAGTACATACAGTACTGCATACATGTACTTTTGTTTCTGCTACAAATTGAAATTGTTTACACTTGACTTAGTGACGCCTCCTGCATCAACCCCTAAATTAAGAGTATGTGGTTTTATAAAGCAATCCAAAAATACCTGAACAAGTCCGACGGGATATAAACGCAATGCAACTCACATTTCCTGATTCCCGCGCTGGCTCGGAAACTGTTGGCGAAAAGTACTCGAACGCAGCACGACGCTTTTCTGCGTTCGGCGGTTTAAAGTCATCAAGGAAGGTAGGACTACTCGGGCACACATTCGACTTTCACCACACCATCGACTCGTTTTTGAATACATCAGAGAAAAGAAAACCAAGTGCGTATGAGTGAACCAAACCAACCGACCGGCACTCAAACGAAGCCCACAATTACTGGAAAGAACTACAAGTTCGACAGCTAAAGCTGACTAGCTAACTGTGTTATCGTAAAACAATAATCAAATGTCCTCTTTTTTTTTTTTTTTTTTTAATGGCAATTTTGACGCGTCGTTTGTCCCCAAAAAAGTGGCAAGCTGGCTTGTGGGTAGACGTGGTGGATGTGACTCGCCTACCTAGCATAATAATACTTTGCGTTACGTTACATTGCGTTACATTCACTTGTCAAATGTGTTTCGGTCGCCCTTGATCACAAATGAGTCTCAAAGGGCTTGATATGCTCAGAGTCGACTAATGTTAACCACACCCCAACTTACTTAAATTGTTAAATGACTATGGAACAATTAAACCAAAGAAAACCACAAAAAGTCAAATCATATATTTTTGATTATGCAAACAAATAAATGGAGAAATATTTTATAATTAAATATGAAAGAGTAGCACCCTTGACATTGGCAGTAGGCTTGTCCGTGACTTTTTCAAAATACTTTTTCTTTCTTACATCAGAGATGGGTCAAGTTGGAAAATATGTACTTAAGTACTGTTACGAAAGAATAATAAAACACAATATCAAAAGTCGCCCTGCAGACAATGATTTGGAAGAAGTACTTGATAACGCACTACTCGTGTACTGAGTTACTTGTAAATAACCAACGTATTATTTTTTTTAAACGAGCATTAACATAAAATACACAAAATCTGAATCTCCAATAATATCACTTGAACTAAAAAAAAAAAAAACACGCACACAAAGAAGTTGAACCTTTGTAAAATCACACCAAAGAAGGCAAATTCAGCCAGAAGAAATGCACTTGAAGTGACTTTTTTCTGTTTACACACGTGAAACTGCGCAACAGGCTCATCACAGATCACCTTGCAAAACAGGAACAAGGTACCTCAGAACATGGGCGTTTCTTCTAGTCAAAATCCGTAAGTAAAAGTAACAAGTATTGTTAACATTGAGCGAAGACTGCTGCTGTTGGCATAAGTGCTGAGCTCGTCATGGTGATGACGATGATGATCTAATTATGGCCAACCAGAGGGAACTAATGACGAGGTGGCGTTCCATCGCTGCTAGTTGTTTTTCAAGTGCTCTATAAATAAGAGTTGAGTTGCGTTAGCTCTTGACTGGCAAATGTCCAGGTGGATGTTCCGACATCCTGTACATAGTTTTTAGAGCATTCCCAAACTTTCACTGTCAAATTGTCCAATGAAGAGAGATTTAACACCCTTAGCGCCTCACTCCAATTCCTACACAACTAAAAGAGTTTTACGAGAGTCCGACTCATCTTCAACTTTGAGCATTCTCACACAATTTCCACACAAATTCCACTCTCTGGTTATGGGTTACTCTTGTGAATTGTTCTTGATGTCTTTTTCTACCGTTCAGATGCAGAGCATCAAATGCGTGGTGGTGGGCGACGGCGCCGTGGGCAAGACCTGCCTGCTCATCTCCTACACCACCAACAAGTTCCCGTCGCAATACGTCCCCACGGTCAGGCGCAAACGTCTTACTTTCGTTGCCTCTGGGCTCAAACTAACACTTTCCGTCAGGTATATCATTTGGTTGAATGACGTGTCGCGCTCATTCACGTCCTCCCCTTGAAAAACGCTGGCTTATTTTCCCAGCGCTTTTCTTACAACCAACCTGTCGGCATCACGTAATAATGCAGTTCCAATAGAAAAATGACCCAACCAGTGCGATGCTGGTCAGAGTGCTGATCTTTCAAATGAGGTGGGAGGTTTTTTGTTTTTTGTTTTTTTATAAATGCTGAACTGGTCACCAGTCAGTCGCAGGGCACATACAGAGACAAAAGACCGTTCACACCGTCGCTGAGTGGGAACCGATCCCATGCTGCCCTCACACAGGTCCGGCGTGTGCATCACTACACCACATGTGTCAAACTCAAGGCCTGGGGGCCAGATCTGGCCCGCCACATCATTTTACGTGGCCCGCGAAAGCAAATCAAACATGTCAACTTCCATGCTGTTTGCTAAAATCTCGACCAAAATTTAAAATTCTTATATGTAATCAATAAGAGACATATTGTAAGCATTTTCTTACACCTCATTACAGTTACTTAAACAATGGTTGAATAATCCGTTATTTATGACTTTTTTTATATGGCTTCAGTTATAATCGCCCTCCAAGGGAAACGGTAACTAAAATGTGGCCCACGACAAAAATGACTTTGACACACCTGCACTACACCATCAGCGATCCACTATTTCTTATTTCCCTCAAAAATATTTTTTGACAGAAACAGACTTTGCTATTTTTAAACCTTTTGTTTCTTTTTAGCATTTCATTATGACATTCTTACCTTTTTTTTCTGGGAAAAATAAGACTGAAGTTGTTGTTTTTTTTAAGTATGACTTTTTTCCAAAATATACAGTGTTATCCCCCCAAAATTCTAACTTTTCTTTTTTTGGGGGGGGGCGGGTCAAACAGTTATTGTGGTGCTTTGTTGATAGCCACAAACAACGCTGCTGCCTCCACATTCAACTTTGTCCATTTTCTAGCCTCAAGCGTAACTTCCTCCTCCTCTGCGTGCAGGTGTTCGACAACTACGCCGTGACGGTGATGATCGGCGGCGAGCCGTACACTTTGGGACTCTTTGACACGGCAGGTAAGGCAAGCGCACTCTCGAGCGTCTGTCGTGGCGCACCTTGTTGACGGTCGCGTGTCGCCCCGCAGGCCAGGAGGACTACGACAGGCTGCGGCCGCTAAGCTACTCTCAGACGGACATCTTCCTCGTCTGCTTCTCTGTCGTGTCTCCTTCGTCCTTTGAGAACGTCCGCGAGAAGGTTGCTCGCAGAGCTGCCGGCTGATTCTAGCCGAGCCTCCGCATTTCATTTTCATGGTGTTTACTTCACAAAGGCTGTTTGGGGTTCAGCGAAATGGCATTCTCAAGAGTGATGACATCTCGTCACAGTGGGTGCCCGAGATCTCCCACCACTGCCCGCGGACCCCCTTCCTGCTGGTGGGCACGCAAGTGGATCTGAGAGACGACGGCAACATGCTGGAGAAGCTGGCCAAGAACAAGCAGCGCGCGCTGAACGCCGAGATGGGCGACAAGCTGGCACGGGAGCTCCGTGCCGTCAAATATGTTGAGTGTTCGGCGCTTAAGCAGGTGGGTTGTGGGGTGGGGGGGGTCCAATTTTTTATTTTCAAAATTTTTGAAAAAAACCTTCCAAAATTCAACATTTTTGAAGATGGAAGGTTACGCCTGACGCTAGCAAAACATATCAGGAGTTGATTTATTTTTATTTTTTTGGGGCACCCCTCTACCCATAAATAAACAAACAAATGAATGAATGAATAAATAAACTAAAAAAAAAAGTCCCTCGGTGTACGGTGGAATAGCTCCCCACATTTTGTGAGAAGTCAACTAATGAGTGCCGTGTCTTTGGCAATATTCAGCGTGACCGCCTTCCACTCCTCCACTCCAGCTCCTTAGCTGACATTCGCAAGCGACGTCAAAATGATTCCTCTCATTACATCTCGGTCTGAGCGAGAAATTGAATTAAAGCTGCTCTTTGAAAAATTGTCACGCTGACACCACAGACCGGGCTTTTGTTCACTAACTCCTCCGTTTGCAATGCACATCGGCGGGGGATGAACTTTCCACAACAGAAGCCACAAAATAAATGGTGGGCGGGGCCAATGGGCAAGTTTTCTTTCTGCGCTGAATGCGTTGACGATGATTTTGTGTTCTCACTCAGAGGGGCCTGAAGAACGTGTTTGACGAGGCCATCCTGGCAGCCCTGGAGCCTCCCGAGACCAGACCTAAGCGACATTGCGTCCTGCTCTAACACGCAGTTCGGCCTGGACGCAGACGGTCAGGTGAACCTTGGCGGGTGGGGCTTGCTGGGTGGGGGGGGCTTGCTGGGGGGGCGTGGGCTTTAGCATAAGGCGTGACACACGTGGAAGTGGCTTTGTTGTCTTTGCCACCTGGGAAACATTTGCCTCAGAAAAACTCTGACCACACTTCACTCAACTTGCCATCTTTAGGCTTTGTTCATCTTCCAAAGCCGCATCTGTGCGTCCAACAGGATTGCCGCGTGAACGCAAACAGAATTGATTGAAGACGCATGCGGACGATTCTCAATTTTTAATCCAATACGATCCATCGTTATTCATATAGCTCCCTCACGACAGCTGCAGCTGTAACAAAGCGCTTTACAAAACAGTTCACATGAAACACAACACATAAAATAAAACATGGAACAGTCAGGCAATTTTAACCACTTTTCCCGCATACACTTAAAATGATCAGCTCATCATTAGCTGGAAAGGCCTGAAACGATCATGAACAGTTGAATCAGGTGTGTTGGAGTAGGGAGCCTATTTTCAACAGGCAGGATTTGGCTCTCGAGGAACCGGAGTTCCCTACAACTGTTACAAACGGGTTGGTGTCCTACATTGTCATTGCTAAGTTGCGTTGTCGGCCACTCCACACGTTCTATTGGCAGCATTGTTAGTTGCAAACCATGACAATGGATTCCATCCATGCACTCATATAGTTTGAATGTTTTCGTACAGAATTACATCCATGTACATGGATCATACTTTGAATGGAATGTTTTTTTATAAACAACAGCCAGAGTTATTGATTGATTGGCACACCGACCTTTTTTGCAAATCTCAATTGGTGTACATTGGGCTTGGTCACAAATAATATCAAGATTCAAAAATAATTGACACCTTTTATAATTACTATGAGAAAATCTCAACAGAATATATTTAGATGAATATATATATATTACTCCAAAACTTTGTGAATAAGTAGGAAAATACCACCAGTCAATGTTTTACACAAAAAATGGGAGTTGGTGTTCCAACAAGCAAACAAAAAAACAAAACATCCCCGCAAAAAAATATATATAAAGAAATACATATCAATTGAAATTTCTTAAACCTGCAAATATGCGAGGGTGCACTGTTCTGTAAAAACATGTTAAAAAAAAAAAGATGGCTTTGAAATGTGCAATGTAGCGTGGGCGCCAAGACGAAGTGCAATTTATTGGGAGTTGGCTGTACACCTCCCTGGTGCAATCTGTCGTGCAATAGCACTTAGTACCTCTTGAGGAGCTCAACTTGAGTGCCCTCCTTCGGCCAGGAGAGTGTTGGAAGAAATGATGTAGGACTTTTTTTTTTTTTTTTATAGATGGCAGATATTTGATCAGGTTAGATTTGGGAATACTGTATCCTCGGGTTCTTTTTTTTTTCATGGTCTTTGTAAAATTAGCCAGAAGTGTTGTCATTCTCAATTTTTGTTCTTCGCTTTGACTTTGTGACAACTATGACTAAAAAAAAAAAAAAAAAGTCCAGCTGCTGGCAAATGAACATGACAATAAAAAAAGACACAAAAGACCTGACTCTTGTTCTTTCCTATTTCTCCCTATAGTGATTGACACATTTGTTCTCACTCTCTGTTTTAACAAAATCTATCAATTGATATTACATTTTTGGGGGGAAAGGGCATGTAACGGGGGGAATAACATTCCGATTGAAGTCCTCTGTTATCAACACAAGGTCTCGATGTCTTATCTTTGTTCTCAATAAAGAAGAAGCCTGCTCCCACGGGTGATACTGGAGATATACTCCTTGAATGCTTCTTGCTCTTATTTTCCGGTTTGGCAGACTGTAAACAATGGGCATGGCAAAACCAACTCCGATTTTCAATTACGGGTAGGCTCCAATTAATGTCTGGATTATGAGCCTTTAACCAAAGGAGACTTAAAACAATCGGAGCCGCGCGGGAAGGCATGACAAAAAAAACAAAAGTGATTTCCTGAGAGTTTGAGCTGAAGACAACTGGCAGTGTATTTGACTTCCGCCAGAAAACGCCTGTCAAGATTAGTCACTCTATTGACTTTGTTACATTCCTCTGTCGGACAGCCAAGAGCTTCAACCACGCACGGATCAACGAAACACAGTTATGTGTTTCGTGGTTATGTTTAGCAAATCTTACCCAGACAAACAGGAAGTTTGAGCCTGACAGCAAAATAGCACTGTAAATAATACAAATGTTCCTCTGCAGGGATTGGAATGAGTATCTTAATATTTGGGTGTGAAATGAAGGGAGAGAGGACCCGTTTTCCAGGTGATGATGTGATGCAGTACCCTCCAGTGAGCTCCAGGGGGCGGGCCTACCCTGCCTTTGAGAGTGTACAGTATTCAAATCAGATGGCTTCATTTTGATTGGCAGATTCATGCCTTTGTCATGCCACCGCCTCCTTCCCTACACGCATTACTTCCGCCTTTCAGAGCCCCGCCCCCACAACAACACTAAAAAAAATCACTTGAAAAATGTTGGTGTAGCCTGTTTACAGCATACTGTCGTGTACAAACAGAGTGTCCGTTAAAACAGTGTTTTTCAAACACTGTGCCGCAAGATATTGTCAGGTGTGCCGTGGAAAATTATCCAATGTGTATGCCTGTGCGGTAAATCGCGTGGCAGAGTAATCATGTAGTACTCTTCCAGACCGGTAGGTAGCACCAGCGGCTAGGTAATTGACTTGTGCTTCGAGCGCGAGGCAATACAACGAAAGCTAACTTTCATTTGGAATATCCGAGTTAACCCGACATGCCGCGGCACCGAGTCCGTTGTCCATGGTATGTGGTGAAAAGCTCTCCAATAGCGCTATGGTCCCAAGTAAGCTTAAACTCCATCTCTAAACAAAACACCCTTAAACTTCGAAACAAAAATGTGGAGTATTTTGTTCGCCTGCGTGAAGACAGAAACAAGCAACATGCATGAGAAAAACCGCAAAGGTAAACGAGAGATCCCCGAAAGCAAGTTACCATGTCGCTGAACTTGTGGCTAAATCAAAAAAGTCGCAGTGGCAGAGCAATTGCAAAGCCATTGTAAATGAGATGATCGGACCCGAAGCGGCTAAAGAAATAGCCGGACTGCTGTAAAAACTAAAAACAGAGAAAGACTGAGAGCTGTGGAGGAAGAGCTTCGTGTGTCTTCAATCGATTGCTGCCAGGATATCAGATCTGTGTTCATCCAAACCATTTATCACACTGAGTGAGAATAAATATGAAAGATGATAAAATATTTGATTGATGTTTATTTGATTCCTATTCAAGGTGTTCTAACATAACGTTATACTTCAATATTAAAATACGCTAATAATAACAAAATAACACTTTAATTGTTAAGTAAACTTTTTTTTCACATTTTCAGCTAGTGGTGTGCCGCGGGATTTTTTTCAATGAAAGAAATGTGCCTTGGATCGAAAAGGATTGAAAAACACTCCATTAAAAAATAGATGTGATATGATGACATGTCGAACTCCTAATAATACCTTGATTGTAAGAAATTGTCAGTTGTTGGTGACGTGCATGACTGAATGGACAGAAAATTTTAATTTAATGTGATCCACAGCCTGTCCACCTCATTTGGAGAAAAAAAAAACATCGAAACAAGTGAGCTGCCTATGTGCTCCAAGCACATTCGAAGTGCTCAAAGGGAAGCCGTGTATACTGCCTCCATTTCAAGTGTCTCTGATCAACACCAAGTAAAGTTCAGATCTTCTAGTAGGCTTTTTGTGACGGCTGCAGAGAGCTTCTGCTGCATCGCAGCCATCTGTTTGCTCAAAGCTCTCAGTCAGGAGAAGGCAACAAAAGAAAGTCCAAGGTGAATATAGTCATCAAAAGGTGGAGAAATTTTGCCTAGAAATGGACATGCCTCAGAAAAGGCGAGAAGGAAACTGGTCAGGGAGGCTGCCAGGAGAGAATTTCTATCAAGTATTGTTTGTTAAGCACCTGTGACAACAATCTCCTGTCTTATGTGACGAAGTAATTTGAAAAAAAAAAACACCACTTCATACTGTTTCTCTCAAACGTGGATGGGGAAAATATGTTTGTGGTGCAATAATGATACCAAGGTTATACCAAGGTTGAACTTGTCTAGAATTCCAAAAGTGCAGCAACTCTAAGTTACGCAGAGCAATTAGCAGTCAACGTGAGCACAGAATCTTCAGCCTTCTGTCAGGAAAAGCCTACTCGAACTTCTGGATTTTATTTGGCCTTTATCAGAGAGGCCCTTGAAATGGTGGCAGGTGTGGGTTGGGGGGGGCACACACTTTTGCAAGCATGTGATCACACCGATTTGGATAGAGAATCTTGTGACAGCCTTGGGGTCAGATTAATGGTCAAAACTTTTGAGAGGTCATCTTACATTTTTCTGGTCTGACAAAAACGCCTCATTTGAACAGGGGTGTGTTGACTTTCGATAGCCAATGCAGAAGACATGCACGGGAAAAGAAAGCTTGGATACCAGCTCCTCTGATCGGCCCGCAAGCGCAAAGCAACCTGTGCATGCGTGCCACCAGATGAGTCAACTTGGATATATGTGGCGGCCATCTTGTCTGGCTGCTCATTCAGCCCGTGACACTTTTCCACTTTGGCGCCTCCTCGCTCGCCGCTCAACATTATGGGATGGTCGCCTGACCTGATTAAAAGCGCGTTGCCACGGGCGACCAGCTTAAAGAAGGCAGTGGGGGTGGGGGGGGGGGGGGACTGTTGCATCATTGGACAGAAACCTGACCTCGCTGATTTTTTTTTTTTTGTCTTGAAGGACTTACACGCACGCACGCGTGTGTAAGTCGTGTCGGAGGACACATTGTGTGCGACGGTGTTGCACACAATGGCACCTGTGTTGACACAATCGTGTGTGTGTCTGTGTGTGAGTGTGTCTTTGTGTGTGTTGCCACTGGGTGTTTATGTGCCTCTATGTTTGAGTCATGTCACATGTGCAAGTGTGCCTGATTACATTGGTGTCAGTGAAGTTGGGAGTGCGCGTGTAGTTTTAGTCCAATTTTATCTTGTGTTTGTCCGCTAGAGTGTGTGTGTGTGTGTGTGTGTGCGCGTGTCTGTGTGTGTGTTTACTTAGTCCTGTTTTAATGTTGTGTTCCTTTGGTAGTGTGCGTGGTTTTAGGCAAGTCTTTACATTGTGTGTGTGTGTGTGTGTGTTTTGATTGTGTGTGTGTGTGTGTGTGTGTGTGTGTGTGTGTGTGTGTGTGTGTGTGTGTGTGTGTGGTTTTAGGCGAGTCTTTACATTGTGTGTGTGTGTGTGTGTGTGTGTGTGTGTGTCTGTACTTAGTCCTGTTTTTATGTTGTGTTCCTGTGGTAGTGTGTGTATGTGGTTTTAGGCAATTTTTTACATTGTG